GTGCTCCGTCAACTATAATAACTGGGCGCATGCAAGTAATAAACGAACGAATCTACAAATAATATACACAAGAAATATAATCATTTAAATGTGAAATGCATGTAACTAACAAAAATGAGTCAACAAAATTATATTGATTTACTAACCGTAGCACCAATGGCGATAAACAGCAACTCAAAGCGTCCATCTCTATCTGTTTTGATATGAGTTACCGACCCAGGATTTTTCAGCTTTAAATTGTGACAATAAGCCGGCAGTTGGGCAAACGATGCTTCTGGCGACCCCCTCAACAATTCCAAGGCATAACATTTGGCTCTCCAAGCTTGAGAATATGATATACTAATCTTGAACCGAGCATTCATGTCAGTCATAATTTCATGTCCCCGATATACCCTGCCATTCAAAAACATTAACTCAGCCAGAAAACCACCCAACACCTTTTTGTTTGCCTGTCTATGGTGAGGAAAAACTTGGGTTCTTGAACATGTATGTTTATCAATAAAAGTCCTAACTTGAAACATTTTGCAATCTTTTATTCTCTTTGCAATCATACGCCCGTACAGTTTTTGTCAATCATACACCTTGTTTCGAAACGATCTTTGCTTGATTTGTTAACTTTTAGTTGATAGCCATCTTCCACACATTTCGTATACAAAGCTATCTTCAAGTCTTCCTTTGTATCAAAACAATCATCTTTCTTGACACGAATAACTTTGTGTAACAATCAACTGCTTTCTTTGCCAACTCTTCTTCCGGTAACTGAAGTAATTCTGGCATATTCCAGTTATACCCGTGGCATTTTCTTTTCTTCGGGGACTTTTTCTTCTTCTTTTCTTCTTCAGGATATATGAATTACAGAATGGATGTTCAACATGTTCATTCACAGTCGTAACTTCCTCCTCATTATCATCAACAACATCTTCCTCGACAACGGGTGTTTCATCATCAAAATTCGGGTATTGACCAATATTAAAATCATTACACACATGGTCTGTTTCTTCTTCTGAAACATCATCAAAATCCGTGTATTGACCAATATCAAAGTCCGGATATTGACCAAGACCAAATTTCGAATACTGACTAGTACTCACAATTTTTTCTGTTGGCTCATCATCGTCTAACTGGTCAATACGAAAACCGGAATTTGGTGCTAAAAGTTGATTGGGATTTGGATTAGAGAAAGGTTGTGGGTTTTGAGAAAAACTTAGTTGATTACTACCCGCTACTGACCCAACAATACTACTTCTAGGTTCAACAACATACAATGTAACATCATCTTGTGAAACACTAATGTAAGCAATGAATCGTTCAACATCTTCATTGTCGGTTAACAAATAAACTTTACCATTTCTCTGATAAGATAGCCTAAATCCACTTAGGGGCTCTAAATTCAATTTATTTGAAACACGTAGCATTAGAGTTTCATAAGTTAACTTTTGTAAAGACAATTTTAGTTGAAGATTCATGGGTAAAGGCATATATTGTAAAACACCATGAACATTATCCCATGACCCTCCAAAACACAAATCTATCCAAACATGATCAACATTAGATGATTTCATGGTTGTAAATTAATTTACTAAACAGACGAGCTGCGAAACTAAAACCTGTTGCCGGATTGGGAAGGATGTCGTTGGATATAGGAACGGATGTCGCCGGAGAGAGTGATAGATGGAGATGGAATGAGTTGCGATTTAGGGATTTAGTTTATGATTTCAGTGTTATATACCCAAAATTTCAGTGTTGTGATTTACAGATTCTCGTTGCGATTTACGGATTCTCGTTGCGATTTACGGATTATCGTTGCGATTTACAGATTCTCGTTGCGATTTACGGATTATCGTTGCGATTTACGGATACGCGTTGCGATATACGGATACGCATTGCGATTTACGGATACGCGTTGCGATATACGGATACACGTTGCGATTTATGTGTTCGCGTTGCGATTTTCATATTCGTGTTGCGATTTTGGAAAATCGCAATGCGAATCCGTATATCGCATTGCGATTTTCAAGAATCGCGTTGCGATTTTGGAAACTGATTTGCGATTCTGGGGATCGCGTTGCGATTTTTATTTCGCGTTGCGATTTTGTTGGTCATTTTGGCAAATCCAAAAAAAGTTGGTTAAAATCGTATATTATAACTTTTTTTTGGTCACTGAGGCGATTTTCTCTTTCTTTTTTCCGTCATTAGATTAGCATGCACAACAAGAATAGCATGAATCGAACCCGTAATATCACAGTTAATTTTTAATGATGGACGATTAAAGTGAAATTAAAATATAATATTGGATTTTAAAAAATAATAATAACTAGATAATCAAAATAGAACAAAAGTGACGATTATGATTTTTTTTTTTGGTTGAAAATATTCATTCATTAACAACAGTATCAGCAGTTACAATAGCATCATGGAGGGATCGGTCAAAATACAAAGGATGGGTGGTCATCGAAACATAATTGGGTAAAGCATGCGCCGCTTCGTTGGCTTCAAGACGAGTATAAGAAACGGTGACTCGAGGATGAGCATCAAGTAGTCGACGAGCTTCATATAGATAGAAATGCAGGACGGACTGGTCTGACTGATGATTTGCCAATTGCTGAACCACATTGAAAGTGTCGTTCTCAACCACTACACTCAACTCCATCTCGATTGCCATGCGAACACCATGACAAATAGCAAGAGCTTCCACTGTTCCAACATTTGGAACACAGGTACAAGGGAACGCACAGCTCATAATGACTTTACCGTCACAATCACGAGCTACCAGACCCACAATCGGAGAACCCAATCGTCGCGGACATGCTCCATCGACATTGATCTTGATGGTTCCTTGGGGAGGCTGCAACCAGCGACAACCATGGAGGATTGAACAGGAAGCAGACGTCCTAGTTGAGGAGGATATGAGACCGCTGATATATAGGCTGACTGAAGGGATGCACTGGCGGAGATAGTGTGCGATCCAGACAAGAGACGAGACTCGTGGCAGCACACATTCCTAGATACCAAATCTTCCAAAGGAAAATTAAAAGAGCAATAAAGCGTTGTAAGGGCAGAGAGATCATAAGTCGTTTTAACCATTCACCACAGGAGATGTTCTGCAAGGAAGCTTCATCAAACACGAAACCAGCCCAATCGAAAATCGACGTACAACAGGATAGCAAGCAAGGCATGGAGAACAGTTTCATCGGACAAACATAAACAACAATGTCCACCGGACACCCCAACTAAAAGCAAGCAACGTCCAACCGGAAGAGTCTCATGTGAAGCTCGCCATCTAAAAACCCGAACTCGAGGCAACGTAGGCAAGCACCACAGAAACAACCATAACTGAGAAGTATGAAGCAAATCTGATTGCAGACGTAGTAACCAAGTATACCCCGAACGAACAGAATAAGTGTCTAAAGAGTGACCACTCCAAAGGAGAGTATCGGCTTCCACCGGGAAAATAAGGCATTGAAGAATAAGACGTGCATCATCAACAACAAAATAGCGTCAAACCTCGTCGACATTCCAAGTTAGACGATGTATTAGCATGAAGTCACCGATACGAGTGTGGTTGGAAATGGTAACAGAAGGCAGAAGAGTGAGATGAATTGATGATGTACCACCCCACCCTTCCCAGGATGAAGAAACCCGACTGTTAATACTAATCCGACATAAGAAACCATCCTGCAACGCCGATAGAGCAGTGAATATGCTTCTCCAAACAAAGGATGATCGATCACCAAAAACATCTAAAATATTTCCCCAAAGAAAATACTTAACAACAAAAACCATAAATCCTAGACCCTAAACCCGAAAAAAAAATACTTAACAACAAAAACCTGTGCAACGAAACTGTTTTGACCCTAAATTGTATCATCAAATTTTTGTTGTAAAATTTTCAGTTTGTTCTACAAGTTTTGATGGCACCAACGTGTCAGTTGTTAACCACAATAGCACGAATGACCTATGCTACCGATGGAGTTGGTTCCAAATTCCACCCCCATGGGCCATGAGGAAGAGGAACCGATCCATAATTTTGACCCGAGTCACGCAGAGAAACAAGCCTAATCCGAACCGTATCAATCACACGCTAAACCCGCTCTTCAAGTTTCGTCACTGACAAGGACACCCATATACTTATCCTTAATTAATAAAAAAAATATACTTATACTTAAAATGACGCTCAAGTCCCGCACTCAACGCGGCCATTGTAGTTGCCGTCCACGTCACTCTTTATCCATCAATGCAGGGCAATCTCGTCAAAGAATATGCAACTCCGTAATATATCGATATCTGTAGGGATAATCTAGTAATTCAGAAAAGAAATAATATTGTTTTAAAGCTGGACCACATCCCTACCCCCACATCCTAATTATAAATGAGACGAGACAAATCGTAAGTTAATTGAGATCGAATCGACTCGATTCTTAACGAGTAGAAACAAATTATTTGATACTTGATTCGAAAAGCTCGTGAATAGCTCGAAAATATAATATATTAAGATTTTATTTTTTTAAAAATAAATTATTAATAATATTAACATTTATGTATTATTTTTTTTAAATATAATAATGTTTTCATGTATTTAAGGTTTAGGTTCAAGTTTGAGTTTAAAGATTCAATCTTGTTAAGTTTAAGATTTTTTTTTTCATTTCGAGTCTTATCGAGCTGCTCACGAGCTTCAGTTCAGGATTTCGAGTTCAAGTCGAGCTTAAAATTTTTAAGCTCATAATTTTTTGAGTCGAGCCCCATTTCAAAATTTTCGAATCAAACTCACTAATACTTAAACTCGACTCGACTCGACTCGTTTACACCCTATTCTTCGTTTTCGGCTCTCTATTTTGTAAAGAAAAATAAATAAAAAACTATAATTATATTAATTTTTTAAAATAATATTTTGGTAATTAATATATTTTTCCTTGGTTTCTTCTCCTTCGCTTCTTCAGAGGAATTCTCTCTCATATGGCTTCTATAGTAATCTAAATATCTCTTTCTCTCAGAAATTCTCCCCCTTTTATTGATTTAAACAGCATCCTATGTACATTGGCGACCCGTTTCTTTTTCTTTCTTTCTTATATAATTTTCGCCCTTCGCGTCTTGAAGGTGAGTTTAATCTATTTATTTTTCCATGTGTTCTTTTTTTTTTCAAGAAACATTTAATTTTTTTGAATTCAGAATCGTTGTTTTGATGAATATATTTTTTCCTGAGCTCTGTTTTTCTTTTCTACATTGGAATGCAGTTGGAGTTTTCGTTTTACTTCCTTTTTGATTTCCGAGAAAAAGGAGAGGTAAAATGTTTCCGGAAGTTCTCGATTCTTTTCCCTCTTTTTTGCAAATTTTTACGAATTAAAGTGGCAAAATGGAGGAGACTAATTTAAATTTGGTCATGGCCTATGTGATTGTATTGAGTATAATTGAATTCTGGTGTTCGTTGGATAATAAATTCATTGTTTTATATCTATATATTTCCTTTTTTTTTATAAAAAAAATTACTTGCCTTTTTCTCGGTGAGGAAGTAAAAAGTATATGTTTTTCTTTTCTTTTGCTAAACATGATACTATTTGTTTTAACTCGCAGTTTTCGCCCTTGTTGTAATTATTGTTTCAGTTTTCGATTAAGGAGATTTTTCTTAAATTTAGGGAAAGATTATCCATCCTACACTTTTGATGATTTATTTTATTAATTCCAATTCAAATTGGTTGCTTTATCTTTTTTGGCTTTAGAAAATCGATGATTTCCAGCAAGCTCACTTTATTTTAGTTTTAGTTTCTTTTATTTATTTGTTATGATTGAGTTAGGTTTTATTTTTATGGATAAGATGTTAAAAATAAATAGTATCAGTGGCTCTATATGTAGGAGATCTGATTGAATTTGCTGATGTGTTTCTTGCAAAAACCTCCTTGTTTGAAATCCATAGATTTCATTTATTTCCGAACACTTTGCTTGATTAATTTGTAAAAGCGGGTGAAGAGGTAAAGATTGATACTGCCTTGTTTGTTTCTGATCCCCACCCCCCTAAAATTTGACTCATTACCTTAGTCAACGTTAATTTCTATGTCTAGGCCACCGTGTTACAATCTCCCTGGACAGATTTTTTTTTCCTTTTTGTATTTTTGTCATACAAGCCTTACAAGATTGAGTCTAATATGTTGGTCAGGTTTCTTTCTTTAGATCATGATTTATGTTACGCAGTTTAGTCTTGCAAAGTTATACTGATCTTTTATGATTGTTTACAGCCCAAACCTGGTTTTGATACACGGGGCATCAGTTCCGCAACTTGTAAAGAAAATGGATCAACCGATGAATTTTTACACTTGTGCTGGAGATATTTTGGAGGTCTCATAGAGTCTTGAGCTTAGATTATAAGCTCCAGCTGCAGCTTGTAGAAGCTGCAGTTGAGGATGTTGATAATTTTCTGGCTGATATTCTATCATTCTTACAATGAGAAGTCTTTTCCTGTCAGTATCTTACATTTCATGCTACAGTTTAGCAGTAAACCATACATGCAAGCTAGTGATCAAACCATTGTCAATACTGTAAACACCTCTATTTGGAGGTTGCCAGAACTACATTGACAAATTGTTGATTGTCATCTGCTGCAACTGCAAGAATGGAAAGGTTTTGTTTCTTGCCACTGCATTTGATATTTGTAAAATTTGTCAAGTACTCATTTAAAGCTTGTATCTCTTTGGCACTATATCTTGCTACGTTCTCTTCTCACATAGGTATAAAATTTCCGAGGAGCTTGGAGAAGGCACCTGTGGTAGTGTGTTCAAAGCCTTTAATATAGAAACATTTGAGATTGTAAGTAACTTTTTCTTGTAGTTGTTTTTTGATCTTTCAGTTTACATAACCGCACTAATTCTTGTTATTTGTCGATAAAATTTCCGAGGACCTTGTGCTCATTGTTTCTCAGCCATGGTTGAAGTTAATTCAATGATTAATATTATTATATACTTCGCTGCACTTAAAAATTTTCTTCTAACATGTGGGAAAATCAACATAAGTCTTGTACCTCACTTATGGTAGAAGTTATTTCAGTGGTTAAGGTTATAAACTTTGCTGCCTTGATAATCATGTTGGAAAGTCAATGTAAGTCGCTTCTAGTTGTGAGTGTAATTGTAACAAGCAGGATATATGTACATGTTGGCAAACATTTTGAGTTGTCCTAGAAATATTGGATATGTGCATGACATGAGATATTAGAGCTTATCTAAATCTAAGTAGCCCTTCAAGTATAAATTTGGAGCATATATATGTTATGTGTGTGTATACATTAATATACAAGATTAGAAGAACTTGGAAGCTTCAACGTTCACTTTGGAAAATGATTCTGGTGTTTGTCACCTCAATGAGGATGTTACAGTATTGATTAGGAAGCCCTAGGACTGGAACACTTAACACAGTCTATTATGGACGGTTTTTTGAAATTCCCCCTCCCCGGTTTATATTCTTTCTTGAGATAAAAAAGATAATAGTGAATTTATTAATGTGGAACTTCCTTGATTTGTTGCTCTTGAAGCATTTTGTGAATGTTTTCAATCTAGGTTGCTGTAAAGAAGATGAAACGAAAATTCTACTTTTGGGAAGAGTGCATGAATCTAAAAGAAGTTAAGGTAAACTGTAATATTTCCTTGAATGTTACAGATCCCTTTGCTTTTCACATAACCCTTAATCATAAGAGCTTGTTCCATTTATTATCCGTAGGCTCTTCGTAAACTAAATCACCCTAATATTGTAAAGCTAAAGGAGGTTGTCAGGGAAAGCAATGACCTATTCTTCATTTTTGAGTACATGGTAAGGATGCTCTTCCAACTTCACATTATTCTAAAAATGCATGAGGTTTTTATGATTTTATCTTTCACTTAACTATTGTACTTCTACTCCCTGTAATTATAATTTAAGTTTCTTCATTTTCATTTTTTTTGTAAACACAAAGTTTGGGAACATGACTGATTAGGTTGGACTGTATTTGTCGACAATCTTAGTAAGAGAGTTACTAGATCAGAGTTAAGAGAGATTTTTATTCATTATGGAAGAGTAGTGAGGGTCTTTATTCCAAATTTTATGGTTAAACCAAATTATAAATCATCAACGTTTGCCTTTGTGCAATATGAGATGGAGGAAAGCTGTAGAAAAGCAGTACAAAATGTTGATGGAATGTTGATCGATGGGAAGAGAGTCTCAGTGGGGATTGCAAAGTACAAGAAAGGTAGGAAAAGAGCAACAGAGGAAAATAAAGTTCAGTTGGGAGGAATTAAGTCAGTTAGAGGGGACAATGGGAGGCAGCAGGTTGAAATGGAGAATCCGAGAAGTCTAAGGGACGGTAGGCAGTAGGTTGAACTGGAGAAATCGCGAAGTCTGAGGGATGGTAGAACGAATAAGGAGGTTTTGAATGTGGAGAATAGAAGTATGATGGATAATGAAATTCTGGAAAACAGGGGAGGTCAGAATAAGAAAGTGAATGGAGTAAGGAACGTATGGGAAATGCACATCCCATCACAAGACTCATGCTGGGTGAAAAATTCCTTAACAGGGGTTATCAAAGATAACTTACAACCTGCTGTAGTGATGAAGGCCTTGGCAAAGGAGGGCCTCGAGGTAAAAATAGTAAGGTGGGGATATGTAAGGAATGCCAATATTATTGTGTTCAATTCAAAAGAAGATTTAGTAAAGGCCGTGGCTGAGTTTCCAGGATAAGTTTTGCTTCTGGTTTGATTGGTTAGCTCCGTTGTTGAATGAAGATGGTGTTCCTCTGGCATATTGCTTGGTGGAGCTGGTTGGTTTACCATTTCTTAGCTGGAATGAACCTTTCCTGGAAAAACTTGTAGGAAGGTGGGGAAAGTTTGTTAGCATCCCGGAGGAGACAAGAAATAGAGAGGATCTCTCAATGGCAAGAGTGTTGTTAAGGGTAGCAAGTCCGTTAGATGTACCCGAATCCATTATTGTGGGATCATATGGTAGATCCTTTAAAGTTAAAGTTAATTTGGGTCTGTCGGGTAACGTAAGTTCTGATGCGAATGGAGTCGAGTTGGAGAACTGTTCAAATGATGGTTACAGTGTTGATTATTCAAAGGAAGACGAGTGAGGAGGTGCAGAGAAGGAAGAAGATAATCGAGGAAACTCAGCTGAAGGAATTTCGTCAAAGTTGTACACGTGCTTACACAAAAGTCAAGAAAGTGGGATGATGGTGGGAAGTGGGGAACATTCTCTGGAACAAGAGTCTCTCACACAACCCAATATTAATGGGATGGAATTTCGTCAAAGTTGTACACGTGCTTACACAAAAGTCAAGAAAGTGGGATGATGGTGGGAAGTGGGGAACATTCTCTGGAACAAGAGTCTCTCACACAACCCAATATTAATGGGATGTCAGACAGATTTGAATTTGGTGTAAGTCCTAATAGGGATTATGCGGGTCTTGGGTTGCGAGTGGTTGTGGATCAGAGTAGTTCAGCCCATTCAGACTTTAACGGGGAGTCATATTCCCCAGTTACTAAATTAATTCCTGCTGGGCCTGCTGTGAAATTGGATTGGGATGGGATAGAATTTCAACCCAAGGTTCAGTCTCCTCTTGAATCAAAGGAAGATGAACAAGACATCTTAATAGAGGAGAATAATGAGGGAGTACAAGCAATTCAACTTAATGTTCTTGGTAAGCAAGTAGAAGGAAAACTGATACAGGGAGAAAACAGTGAAATCAATGTGAAGAGTGCTAAAAAGTGGAAGATGGGATTTCCTGTTTCTAAATGTCTGTCTATAAGAAGTGCTCTTGATGGAAGGAGGGGAAGATCAAGTTATGCTAGAGTGTACAGAAGAACAAGGAATAGACGAATCTGGTTGTGTTCGGGTATGGAAGAAGATGTCATTTGTGCAAAGGGTATTATGATTCAGAAACAGAATACTACTGAGCTCAGTAATAATCATCAACTGTCTCCAAAAATTAGTGGATGTGAACAAGACCAGGACATCATCTGTTCTGTCAACTTTCAGGATTCATCTATGGCTCTATTAATTCGTAGCGAATACTCAGAAAGTGTGGTAGCAGCATCTTCTATCACTTCAGGGTCAAGAAAAGAACATAGAAGAAGAAAAAAGGCTTAATCACTGAAGCCATGGACTGGGTTATATCTATACTGCCTCTTCATTCACATTTCGAAGTTGTTGGACGAAGCATTGGCTACTTGGCAAGTTTGTCAAATGTTAGGAATTTCTTTCAACGAAGGGAAGGAGGCTTTTATTGAAAAAAATTTAAGCCTTGAGAAACATTCAGAGGTAGTAAGGGAAGCTTGATTGTTGGTCAGTATTTGCTGTTTGCAGTACTGGTATTTTGCTGTTTGGATGTTGTCTTTTTTAAATGAATAAACTTAGTATTCTAACGTGGAACATAAGGGGCCTTGGGAGAAGTGAGAAATCTACAGCAGTTACAAGGCAAGTAAGGAAATTAAAACCGGTTTTTCTATTCATTCAAGAATCAAAGTTGGATCAAGTACATGTGTCGATTACAAGGAGGATAGGGGGTAATTTCCTAAAGGGAGTCTTGGTGTCTCCAGCTCAAGGATCATCGGGGGGGTTGATTTCTATGTGGAATGAAAGTGTGGTTCAAGTCATACATCAGCATGTTCACAGAAGGTTTCTGGTCGTAGTGGGGAAATTGATGAACGGTCAAATGGAGTTTTTATTTATTAATGTGTATGGGCCTTCTATCGAATCTTTAAAGGAAGAATTCTATGGGGAGCTGATGCAATTTGTAATTTTCAGAATTTACCAGTATGTATTGGGGGAGATTTTAATGCGTATATTGAAACGGAAGAAAAGCAAGGGAAATCACAAAATTGGAATTCAATCGATATCCTTAGATCATTTGTGCAGCAAGCTAATCTTATTGATTTGCCTTTGGCAGGAGGAACTTACATGTGGTGCAACAATAGAGAATTTTCAACATAGGTGAGACTAGATCGGTTCCTAATTTGTGTCAGATTTCTTAACAGTTTTCCTAACGTTATTCAACGTTTTATTCTGAAATCAATTTCAGACCACAATCCAATTTTGTTGAAGGATGTTTCTATAAATTGGGGACCTAAACCTTTTAGGTTCTTTAATTTTCTTTTAGAAGAACAAGGATTTGATGAATTGGTTGAAGAATCACTAGCAGTAGAGAAAAGGAAGAAGAATAGAGGGGGAATTTTCAGGTTGTTACAGGCTGCCAAAAATAAAATCAAAAACTGGTCTGGAAGCAGTCACAGAGGGCTTGCAAAATCCATCTCGCATCTGGAGTTAAAAATCAATGATTTGGACAGAAAATCTCAAGCTGGAATTTTGTCTTCAGGGAAGTGGGATCAACTGATTGATTTTAAAAAAGAGTTATGGAGGTTGTTGAGAATCGAGGAGAGGATCTGGTTTCAGAAGTCTAGAACCAGATGGATTAAAGATGGAGATAGAAATACAAGGTTTTTTCACCTTAGTGGTTTGAAGAGAAACATAATTAATTCCATTCATTCATTGAAGTCTGAAGGGGGAGTAATTTCAGAACCAAAACAGATTAAAGCAACTGTGTTCAATTTTTTCAAGAATGCATATAATGTAAAATCAACTTTGGAAGTTGCAGTCTTTAATTTTGATTTTAAGCAACTGACAGTAGTTCAAAGGGATTGTCTTGAAGTAGAATTTTCGGAGCAAGAAGCTTGGCAAGCAATTACTTCCTCTGAAAGCTCTAAAGCTCCTGGCCCGGATGGTTTTAACATGGGCTTTTATAAGAAGTACTAGATGAATTTGAAGGAGCAGATAATGGAGTTTTTCTCCAATTTTTATAAAGGAAAGGAATGGGTTCATGGGGTAAATCATGCATTTATTACTTTGATTCCTTAAAAAGGTAATACAGAGAGTATTGAAGACTACATACCTATTAGTCTTGTGGGCAACTTATACAAGATTCTCTCAAAAGTTCTTTCTAAGAGACTCTCTTCATGTGTTAATGATATTGTAAGCCCAACTCAGTTTGCTTTTATTCCGGGGAGGCAATTGTTGGATTGCGCATGTTTAGCTAACGAAGGCATTGACTTTTGGAGGAAACAAGGGCTAAGAGGAGTTGTTTTTAAAGTTGATTTCAGTAGAGCACATGACACAGTTGACTGGCAGATTCTTTTAAGGCTATTGAAAGTCATGGGCTTCGGTGACAGGTGGTGTTCTTGGATCTCACAGTGTATTTCCACGGCTTCAATTTCGGTTTTAGTCAATGGGTCGTCGACAGAGGAGTTTTCACTTGCTAAAGGATTGAGACAAGGATGTAGTCTTTCTCTTTTGTTTAATGTGGTTGGTGAACTACTTCATATGATGTTAACCAAAGTTGTGGAAACTGGCCTATTTCAAGGGTTTTCGTTTGGCAAAAACCAAAACAACTTCACTTTGTCTCATCTTCAATTCGCAGACGACCTAATTATTTTATGTGGAGCTTCCATTACTCAAATTAAGAATGTTAGAAGAGTTTTGAGGATTTTTAGCTTAATGACGGGGATTCATCTTAATTTAGCTAAAAGCAAACTTTTTGGCATTAATGTGGAGGATGATATCATGGAGGATTGGGCTTCGGCTATTGGATGTACTATTGGTTCCTTTCCGTCCGTATATTTAGGACTTTCGTTAGGGGCAAAAAGAAATAGTGAGAAATTGTGGGAGCCGATTATTGGCAACTTCAACAAGAAACTAGCGTGGTGGAAAGCTTCCTCTTTGTCAATGGCGGGCAGATTGATGCTTATTAAGTCGGTATTGTCATCCTTACCTGTCTTCTTTCTATCTTTGTTCAAGATGCCATCTTACTATATGCCAGAAGTTAAATTCTTTGATGGCGGCTTTTTTATGGGGTGGAGGGGTTGAGAAGAAGAAAATGCACTGGGTAAGTTGGCATAAGATTTGCAAACCTCTGAGTTGTGGAGGTCTGGGAGTTGCTGACTTGAAATATACTAATCGAGCTTTGTTGGGAAAGTGGGTGTGGAAGTTTGCTAATGAGAAAAATTCCATGTGGAAGAGATTCATATGTACCAAACATGATGTTAGTTGTAATTCCATGGATATTTCCAAGGTCTTCTCCCAAAAGGACTCTTGGATTTGGAGGGGAATTGTTAATAACTTCATCAAAGATGATTTTATCGGAGGTTGCCTTAGAGACCATGCGAAGCTACAAGTAGGGAATGGAAAATCAATCTCCTTTTGGAATGATACTTGGTTAGGTGATTTTCCTTTGAAAATTCTTTTCCCTAGGATTTTTGCACTTTCTCCAATTCAATGGGGCAAGGTTGCTGAATTTGGGAGCTATGATTCGAATGGATGGGAGTGGAATATTAAAACGAGGAGGAATATCTGTGATTGGGAAGTGGTTCAGTTGGTAGAGCTATTGGATAGACTCAAAGACATTAAATTAACCGAATCTTTGGAGGATTGTTTGCTATGGGATGGAGTTGGGGAGGAGTTGTTTTCTGTAAAAGCGTGCAGGAAGTCTTTTTCCTATTCTAATGAGGATTCATTTCTGTGGAACAAATATGTTTGGATGGGTTTAGTTCCTCCTCGAGTTGAGGCATTCCTTTGGCAAGTATCCCATAAAAAAGTAGCGGTGAGAGTGGAATTGAAGAAAAGGGGGGGTTCCCTTAGGGGATGATATTTTATGCCCTTTCTGTAATCACTGTGAAGAATCTGTTCATCACCTTTTTATTTCTTGCCAGGTTTCATGGGAACTGTGGAACAAAGTTATAGGCTTTTGGGGTATTTCGTTAGTTATACCTTCTGATCCTCCCTCCTTTCTTAGCTTTTGGATAGATTTGAAGCCTTATTCTGCTATGTGGAAGTTTATTCCAGCGACAGTCCTATGGTCTTTATGGAAGTTTAGAAATGAAATCATCTTTGATGGAGGAAAGATGGACAGATTCGCACTGTTTTTCACGGTTCGGCTAAGGTTAGCGAAATGGTTCCTAGCAAAGTATCCTAACCTCTCTATTCAGGTGGATTCGTTAATTGGTGATCCTTCAGTGGCAGACAATTTTTCTGTTATTAAAGATCTCAACAGGCCTATGGTATGTTGGAGTCCTCCTACAACCGATTTTTATAAGATGAATGTGGATGGAGTTGTTTGTACTGTTGGGATGATTGCTGGAATTGGGGGTATTCTCAGAGATTGGAATCGGACTAAGCTGATTTCTTTTTCAGAAAATGTTGGTCCTACTCCTATTATCTTAGCAGAGTTGAAAGCCATCAAAAAAGTAGACATCTTTGTCTCCTCAGAATGGGTATCGAAGGGAAGACTAATTCTGGAATCTGATTGTAAATTAGTAGTGGAATGGTTGAAAGATCAAGCCACAATTCCTACTTTTCTTTCTGATCAAGGAGATAGTGTCTACAATTTCAGTGTACGAGATTATTGTGAGGTGGATTCCAAGGTGATGTAACTGCGAGGCTGATAAGCTAGCAAAGGAGGGGATTGGGTGATAGTAATTGTTGTTTCAGCGAGTTGGGGCGTTTAGCAGTAAGGATTATTAGGAGTGTGTTTAAGTTTTATGTATCTCGCAGGACTGTTTTTAAGTCTTATGTACTTCATTTGCAATTAATATATTCTGGCACTCTTTTCCTCCTTCCGCTAGTTGGTTATTACCCTAGGGTAAAGGACCTCTAAGAGGGAGGTTTTTAATGAGGCCACCTATTCTTATAAAAAAATGATTGATTAGGTTGGGGCTAGGAACATGGAGAGTAATTGTCGTTGTCGTGGTTACAAATACCAGTTTGTAATCATTTTTCTATGCCAGTGCTAGGGTACCAGGGATGTGCTATGTTAATTACAATGTTTAAACTTGTAAGATTTTAAAGGGGAGCCTATATTAGCCAAATGTATGCATGGTTCATTTTTGTAGAATTCTATAATTAATTGTAGTGACAGTTGTGCAGGCGCTAACTACCTCCTCCATTTCCCAAAGACAGCAAAAATTCTTTAATTTTGTATCTCTTGCAACAAAATTTCATAGTTTATTTTAATAATAAAGGTTTCAAGTAATGGTGATTGACTGCTGATCTTCTCACTATTGAATGTACTTTCCTTTCAATATAATGATTCAACAATTGTGTACTTCTGTATAATTTGTTATGAGAAAACTATTTATTGTAACCAAGCATTAAGTTGAATGAACCCCCTTCCAGTTTGATTGTAAGAGGTTGAACATTTCTTTCTAGGAACATAATCTTTACGAAATCATGAGGGAGAGACAAAAACCTTTTTATGAATGGGAGATACGCAGCTTCATGTCTCAGATGCTGCAAGGACTTGCTCACATGCATAGAAATGGATATTTTCATCGAGATTTGAAACCTGGTAAATCTTCCTTTCATCTGTGTGCAAGTCTTTTTATGGTGGATATACATATAGTGGACTCTCCTTTTTTTCAGAAAACTTGCTGGTGACAAATGATGTTCTTAAAATTGCTGATTTTGGACTGGCAAGAGAAGTATCATCGATGCCTCCTTATACGGAATATGTTTCTACTCGATGGTGAGTAATTGTCTCATTTACTTTGCATTCATGTTTCTTTATGTTAACACATTGTCTGTGCAGTCTCACTGATTACTTCGTAATTATATCCTGTTCATACGGTATTATTTCCTTCTAATGATTTGTGGGATAATTATGCCAGGTACCGTGCTCCAGAAGTCTTGTTGCAGTCTTCCTCCTACACTCCTGCTATAGGTACATGGATATTACTTGGTCTAATTATCTTTGTGTGTGCGTACATATGTGCATCTTCTTCTAGTAGTTTTATGGTACTGTTGTACGAATCCAAAACTTCACTTGAATCTGATAATGTATTTTCCATGTCAATTTGATTTAGACATTTCTTTCTTTCCATTAAATGTTACTTTCAGGTTTATCTATATCAAATTTTTTTTTTTTGGGGGGGGGGGGCATGAATGATGTCTGATACTAGTAACATTTACAGATATGTGGGCTGTTGGTGCGATATTAGCAGAGCTCTTTACTTCATCTCCTATTTTTCCTGGTGAAAGGTGATTTATTTTTCTGAGCTTTTCTTTTTTCAATTTTGGTGGATGATGATGTGAATTTAGGCACTTCTTTTGTTTTGACAAATATATCTTTTCTAACATCATAAATGCTTGCCGCCATGAAAATACTTTGATGCCCAACTTGTATTCCTTTACCATGTTGTCCCAACATATACCCCATACATTTAGTATATGCTAACTTCAATATGTTCCTTAAGTTTGTATTCAAGTTTTATTTTTGGTAAAGTTTACTGTAACATTCAGTTGGCATGTCCTGTGATGCTTGACTCTGGTATTTCTGTTGGATCTGTAATTATGATTGCTTGTGTCAATACTTTCAATGGCTTAAAGTTATTAGTTTATTGATTTTATGTAATCTGTAATTTAACATTGTATTCCTTGAAAAAAAGAACATGATATGGTTGTTCTTTGTTTTTTCTATTATTGTTTCTTTTCTACTTTGTATTTTTTTTGGGAAGAAGATGGGCCAATGATCGACATTAAACCAAAGTTCATCAACACCATCTGGGAAGGGAGCAACCAACGTCCACTAACACTGCCATTAACCTCTAAGAACCAACAGAGACCAAACCAGAAAATTGACTCATAGAGAAAGAAAATTAGTCACCATGTTACGGGGAAAAAAGAAACAAACAAGGACTTCAGGAGAGAAGACTGTAGAACCGATTCCTCAGTAGGAAGTAGCCAAAATAAACCAACATGGGAAGTTCACCAATAAAATAACCAGAATATTCATGTGTGCTTTAGGCACTTTTAAGTTTTCACCTGAACAAAATTGATTCTACATGCATATCTAGTACCCTTTTCGCTATGCTTAAAATATTGTATGCAAATTTACCATACCATCCTCAGTCTATGCCTCTTTTGCTGCCTTATAGATACCATACTGTGTTTGTGCATGAATGTGTGTGCATATATTCATGGCTAGGGGATTCATAACTATAGATATTGAGGAAGAAATATTTGTTATCCTTCTTAGTCTTGGCAGTTCTATGACCCTTAGATATTTTAGGATACTGTTATGTCTATGTATTAAATATGTGAGCATGCATCCATGGGAGGGATGCATAACTATAAGTATGTATAATGTGTTACAATCTTGGCAGTGCTCTGATCTTAAGAATGTTTCTTTACCTGCCGCCCAAGTAAAAGAATATTTGTAGGTGTTGTGTATGTAGATTTGGTCTTTAACATTTATCACTGAAGTAAAAGAATTATATGTCAGAACTTATGATGGTTTTTCCTTCTTACTGTAATACTCTCACCACTTGGCAGTGAAATAGATCAACTGTACAAGATATGCTGTGTTTTGGGTGCACAAGATTGGACATCATTTCCTGAGGCAACAAACATCTCTCTTTTAATCAATATTAATTATTCAGAGGTAGTTTTATTTATTTATTATTTATATTTTATAGTCCATATTTTCTTGTGCTTGCTTTTATTTTATTCTTATCTCTCATCATTACTTTTGGGCAGATTTTACCTACCAAGCTATCGGATATCATTCCAAATGCTAGTCCAGATGCTATTGATTTGATCAAGGTATGTATTGTGGCTGACTGGCATATATATTAAAGTGACATTTGCTCTGCTATAATATCTTACACCCCCTGCTTTGAATGTCTGTAGCAACTTTGTTCATGGGACCCGTTAAGGAGGCCAACGGCAGATCAGGCATTGCAGCATCCTTTTTTTAAAGTAATACATGTGTTCTTGAGTTATTTTTTTTTTCCTATTTGTATTACATCAGTTTTACTGAAACAAATCCTGGACAGGTGGATGCTCGTGTTCCTCATCCACCACTGCATGATCCACTTGAGCTGAGGCTAAACAACATGGGTGGGTCTTTAAGATCACTATTGTACCTGTACGAAGATTATTAGATAACATTTTCTTTTCTTTTTTTAGTTCAACCAATTAACTTTTTCTTGTATTATTCTCTGCAGGGTCAAAGCCAAATCTTGAGTTGAATCTATGGGATTTCGACACTCAACCTGATGATTGTTTTCTGGGCCTGACACTTGCTGTAAAACCAAGTGTTTCAAAACTAGGTAGTATTATTGTATGTCCTGCATTTATGGTTCAGACTTAAGTACACTGTTTGCTCTTGTTAGCTATTGTTGCCTTTCAAATTTGTCACCAACTGCATGAATGTGCATGTGGCATTGACACAGGCATCGTTTTTCATATTCTGATTGATTTTTAGAGGAATAGTTGATGGTGTCTTTGAAGTTAGAATGCGGTTCTTACTCAAGTAGTTGGGGGAGGCTGAGGGTTTTAGATGTTCATGGAGATATGGAAGTCGATGAACCTAGAAATAATTTCTACTGTTTTCCACTTGGAAGCAATACTCTGCGAGCTGTGTGGTTCTCTATTGACTGTATATGCTTTTCATTGTTACATTTTAAACAATGGGTATCTGATTTTAAGATCCAATAAAAACATCATTTTTTAGGAAGGTCCAACTCTTTTATGGATAAATTGATGTTTATTACAACATTTCTCATTTACCGTCGATTTTTTTTCATCCTTTTCTTCCGGGTCTATTTCAAAGGGTTTACTTTTTTGAACTCGTTTATTTCTGCAGAGGCAGTCCATAATGTCTCCCAACTTATCGAAGAGGTGAGTTTTTCAGTTCGACTCAACAAAGTTGCTCTTGGCTATTTATATATCTTTGTTGTGGATCTCATATGTTAACATTCCAAAAATATGGCTAACTCCTGGACTTCATAATGCAGAACGTACTGTTTTGTCCTAATCTGAATGATCATCCAGAGCAATCAGGTAAATTCAAATGATCCCAAGATACATATCTCAAGGGGAATGAACAATAGTGATCCATAAAGCAATTTTGTTTGAGAGATGGATTTTTGTTTTGAACTCTAATCTGAATACCATGCTTCATTTGAGTTAATACTACCTTTTCACTCTCCACAAACAGTGTTCACCAGTTATTTCATTTGCCCTTTCTTTCTTAGAATTTAGTGTTAACCTCTTATTGTCTGCCTTCTTTTCATTCTCAGTTTTTTGGTCATTGCTTACTCCTGATCAAAATGGAATTCATGCACCAGTTGAATCCTCCTTGTCTCTCTCATTCAGGTAAGTTTTTTTCTTTTTGCCTCACTCATAGGTTGTGTATGCGGTGACTTTAGCTGTAATGGCTAGGTGTTATGATAAAAATGAACATCTGTCACGGTCCCTGGATTTTTGTGTCGTTAATGTTACCTTGTTAGAAATAGATCTGCCACTAATAGTCACCAAAACCAAAACCCCTTCGGTAGTTCTAGCAGTTTTACTTGTAACTCCTACTGCAATCACGTATCGATTTAGTCTACCATTTAAATTATCCATGTATGAAAACTAGTTTTTTTTTTCGTTTAAGCACTCAGAATTTGCCCTGTTTCCAGTAACTTCATGTATTTTGCCCCTTTATAGTGTCGGAATTTTTATGTGGCAGTTCAATTCAGCATCCACCAATTGGAGTTCCACGATCTGCTGGGTTCACAGTCGCATCATTGCAGCCTAATCTCCCCGTTAATCAAAACTATTGGCCTTCCCCCCTTCCTGCAGGGTTATCCCCTCCGACTGAGTTGGTTGGATAACCTCATTCGGACCTGTAGAGAATTTGTAATTTATGTCATTTCTTTTTGTAAAGTCAGATTCATTTAGTACCCCCATAGCTGCTATTGTATTAATCTAAGCTTTACATACCATTGATAGTCAGCAGAGTCATTGTTCTGGGAAAGTTCTTGGGAAGTTTTTCAGATTTCATCACTTCCCGGTATAGGAAATTTCACCCTCACAGTAAATGTTGGTCGCGGAATATTCATATTGGTTAATGTACATCTTCCGTTCAAATCTCTCTGCTCTGTCAGTGTGCGGTTTGCATTGTGCTCATGATGTGTAGATTCAAAGCAGTGGTAATGAGTACCCATCAACTCTATGTTCATTTTCATATCATCGACATTTCATGAATTAATGATCTTATTTAATAGTACGTTTTATTGATAGAATTGGAAATAATGTTATTATTTTCGATTAATGTTTATCCTGCGTAACTCGGGTTTTTGGATATTTGGTTTTCTGGCATGTGTTTCGATCTGGATTTTGTGAGTACTCGTAATACGGATAATCAGGTGCCTGGTTTTTTATTATTTTTAAACTATTAATTTTTTTAAATAGAACTTATATTATTAAAAAATATTATATTAATGATTAAAAATATAACTATTGGCTGGGTGGTTTTTTTAATTTTTTTAATTATTTTTAATATATAATTATTAATAACTAAATATATAATATTATAATATGTAAAAAATAAATATAATCGACTATTTGGGTAATTGGATACAAAAAAATACCTGATTTTTTTAATTCGGATAGGCTGGTAAACGATTCAGGTGAAGGGTATTTTTGAATACCCTACAGTGTGTAAACTGGAGGTGACAAGACTAGAATATCCAACTTTTATTGATTAATAATAATGGCAGTTACAGATTCATCTTGCCGACAAACCTGTCCAGCGGATGCATTTTACATGAGCTTAGAGCATGACTGTCATTTGCTCAACCAGATGAGAAATAAACTTGCCTTGGATCTCTCAATTCAGCAGAAATTGTTTCCATTTCATATGATTCTCTCTTACGGAAATTCCTGGTTCCTTGTCTACATCCACCATCACAGTCTCCACGGGCACAGCCTTGTTAATGTCTTCCATGGAGAAATACCCATCCTCGTCTCTCCTAGTCACCTCCACTCCGGCCTTCAAGTCCCCGGCCACGAGCTTGGCGTTCAAGAACTGGTCACCCTTTAGTGGCAACAGCACCAACTGGCAATCGTTCATTATAGCTTCTATAATGGAACTAAACCCAGAGTGGCAAACATAGCAACCCACATTTTGGTGTGCTAATATAAGCTGTTGTTGGACCCATCCCTTGTGGACAACTCCTCTTCCCTCAACTGCCTCCATGAACCCTTTTGGCGGTACCCGATCGAGCTCAGCCTGGGCTTCAACTCCACCGGGGAAGTTCAAAAGCAGGAAAAATGGCAGCCCGGTGAGTTGTAAACCCATAGCCAGTTGTTTTAACTGATCATCTTGGAGAAACGTTTCACTGCCGAAGGAGCAAAAAACGACGGACTTTGGTGGGTGTTGAGCCAACCAATTTGCCCATTTCTCGTTGAGCACACCAGACGGTGGGTCTGGAACAAGTGGACCACATAAAAGAACTTGCTTTTGAAACTGGGTCTTCATGAAATCGATGTAAGGCCCCTCCATTTCATTGCAGGTTTTGATAACTATTACACTGCAGTTTTCAAGGCAGTCGATGACTCTATAGTAAACCGCGGGGGCACCATCAAAGCTCTTGAAAACATATGTCAAGTCTCGAGCCTGGAATGCTTTAAGAGAAGTAACCGAGGTTTCCGGGAACCCGAAAGGAGGCTTCTTTAGGTCTTCAACAGCGGGTTCCTCCTCGGTTTCAACTCCAATAAGCCTAACGGGGACCATGAGGTAAGCACCAGAGATGGCGGCGAAGACCTAGAAGCTAACCGTCTTGATGCCGAGTGGAGAGCACATTTTGGGAAGCCAGTGTTGGGGGAAATCAAAGAAGACAAAATGGGGTTTGAGGTCTGAGAGTAGGGTTTGGATTTTAGGCTGCATGAGATCCAAGGCTTGCTTGAGAAGTTCACGCATGGCGGGTGTCATCTCAGAAGTGTTGTGGGTGTCGGGGGTAATGCCATGGACCGGAGGGATTTGGAGAGGGATGATTTGGATGCTGGGAGAGACGAGGAATGAAGATTTGATGCGTGAAACATTACCTGGAGCTGTGAGGAAGGAGATCCCAACTGACCAACTCCATGAAGGGAAAGCTTGTTCGAGAGTTGACTGAATGGGCTAATGTGACCCAAAGCCAAAATAAGGGAGCATCACTGCATGCATCTCTTTTGCTTCTTCTGCCATTGTTTGATGCTTGTCGTCCTGAGTGCATCTGATATTTTGGGGCCTATATTAATAATAATCAGGGATGGACCGCCGAGTGGGATGGATTGAGGAACAATAATCCTCTGCATCTCTTTTGTGTGCTTCTGTTTATGCCCCACCAATAACATAATAACACATGTATTAATGAATTCCATTAAAACTAACAGCAATTCACTGTTAATTTTTTTTTACCCCAACTTTTTTTACTGCCGATTAATCATCTCCTCCACCGTTCTCTGATTGACTTCGCACCTTCAGGTTCTTCCAATTATGTTTCAATTCATCATGCAGTGTCAAGTACTCCGGATATCGTAGGCGGTGCTTCAGCTCCTACTGCTTTAATTGTCGTCGCGGATATAGGTAAGCTAAGAGGACTTGAAAAAAAAAGGTAAACAATAATGTCAATTTCTGACCCTAACCATGAATAAACTCCTCAACCACATGGAAAGAGAGAAACCATTAGATTTACCCCAACAGCTACGGATTACAGCCGGTAATTTCACCAACTTACTTGATTCAAGTGGCTTTGGAACAACGGATTGCAACCGAGATAACAAGATTAAACCCCAAGAAAAAATGGGTCAGTTGCGAGATTCAATGAAATCAAGAAAAATACAAAAACACATGCAATCAAAAGATTAAACTTCAAAAGCCATAGCACCTCCTAGCAATCATACTTCATTTCCTCGAGCGATTCCTTCACTGCTTGGACCGGAAAATTGAGGGTAGCCAATGACACCCTCATCGTGAACGCCACTTGATCGTAAGTTAAAGCTCTTCCTTACCTTTATGCAACTCTTTTCGGGTTCGGGCATTGAATAAATGTAACAAGTGTATACCTACCGTTCAAGCATTGAGACGGTCCTATCTTGAGTAAGTGTTTATCAACCGTTCAAGCTAACCATGCATTGTTTGGGCCATAATAGGATTTCATTTATCCTTTTCTCTCTTTCTTTGTGGAATCTAATGTCAAAAATGGATGTATCATCGCAATAACCGGATGCGATGTGCAAGTGCAACTACTAGTCAGGCACTTAAAGTTGATATAAAAATACCATTAAATAAGGTAAATTACAGGAATGATCACTTACATTTTATATTTTTTTTATATTTTTACTTACTAAATTTTAAAAAATAAATTTTAGTTATTTGTGTTATCATTTTATCAAGTTTTAGTACTAAAATGTTGAATGTCGTTAAGTTGATGATGTAAAATATCAATAAAAAGGTTAAAATATTTGTGGGTAAACTATAGCAATAGTCCCCTTTGCTTTTGGTCTGAATGAATTTGGTCACCGGTTTAAAAATAAAGTGTGTTTGGTTCCTTACTTATCTGTCCATTCGAGAAGAATATCCCAAAGCAAAAGACCAAAGGGAAGAATAATCAAGCACAGACTCACCGTTCATCCACCGTTTCATTTAACCTTTTCCTTCTTTACTCTTAACAATTCTGTTTCTAATCCTTTTCCCCCCCTTTGAATTGTTTTTTCTCGTTTCCAATTGAAAGAAGAAGAAGAAGAAGAAGAAGAAGAAGAAGAAGAAGAAGAAGAAGAAAGGAATGCCGTCTCAAACGCGTTCTTTCGAAGCCCGTTTTCATTGTCATATGTTTGAGAAATCAAAGGTGAAAGTTGATCCATGAAGATTCTAGGATGAGATTGCTAGTTTCTACAATAGAGGGAGAACGATTATGGTCGCCTTTATAGGCCACAACTAGCATCGATGGATCATCTAAAGCTCTTTCCACGTGATTCCGAGTTGGACATCCTCTCACACTACTGCACTGCACCCTTGTTCCAATCATGTCTCAAAACCAGACCAACAAAAGAACATGTTGGAAACTGATCTCAAACTATCCACTTTGTTTCAAACTGAAAGAGTAATTTATTTTATACCTCGGATGTTTTGATTGGCTTTTGACCATATCTCCTCCATGAGTAATCATCTGGTGGGCATGGGATATCAGCCAACTCCAGACTTATAGCCGGATGCCCCGGAACCCTTACAACCCCTTTCGATCTCTACTTTCTGTCCAAGATCAAACATGAAAAGACAACTCATGCAAGAAAATAAACACGATGACAACTCTGGAATTAATAACTTTGTACAAGGATATGATTATATATTTGAAAGAGCAGCCAGCGACGAGAATCAAGCAAGGAGCCACAGGAATATTCTTTCCAACCATAAACTATAAGTGTACCCTATTTAATTAATTCACATCAATTTGCACATGCAAATTTCATGTCCCTCGATTTTCATCAACATGCCTGTAAATGCATTAATTTTTTATATTAATATCTTAAATAAAAAAAATAGTCGATTCGAATGGAATATATCTATCTAAGGGTTTATTTAAATTTAATTATAGTTATTTGTAATATTTCAATATCGATTGATTTCAATTTAAACGACTCTATCAAATCATATACAATATACATTTGTATTTCCTTTTCATATGTGTTGAGCCAATGACGACGGTGGTGAGCGACGGTCGGCAACGAGGGACTTTATTCAAATTTAAGGGTCAAATTAATATTTTATTTAAAGTTTAGAGTCAAAATGATATTTTATCCAATGTTTAGAGGTTAAATTAAAAATTAATCATCTTTTCAAACTTGTTACATAATCAAACTAATAAATTAACTACTCAATAACCAAAATATAAGAAAACATAAGTGACCAAAATTTAATAAATCGATAATATAAATGATTGAAATATAAATATTTTAAAATTAGAGAATAAAAGTGAACAAAACTAAAACAATTTGAGCATTCTAATAGTTAATCCATTAATTAATCACACAAAATATTTTCCTCGATTCAAATTTTTTTAATTAATATTTTAGGGATAAATAATACTCTCTTCGTCCTATTAAAATTATCCAATGCTGACTTTTTTGGTCATATTTTTAACTTTGATTCATTTTTATTTAAAATCTTTTATTGATAAAAAATAAAAAATATTTTTAAAAAACTTTCAATCTAGTAATTTTTAAATATGTATTGTATAAAATTTAATTATTTAAAATAAAGATGGTTATAGTTTGAAAATTTTAACTTTTAAAAAGTTAATACTAAATAAATTTAGTAGAACGAAGTTAGTAAAATAATATAAAATTTAAATTTAAAAAGAGGATATATATATATATATATATATATATAAAATTTAATTTTTTAAAAAATGTAAATTTAATCTCATTCACTAAAATAACTATTATTATTTTTAGTTGTCTTCTACTTCTAGGGCTTCACAATGACTAATTTGAATTGATCTAGGTCAGACATCTGACTTTGGTATATGAATCTCCCGATAAGGATTTTCTGCATAGTCAGGGACTCGAATCTATAGCATTACTTAAGCGAATTGAATTACATGTGTATATATATATAGAGTACATATAATTATATTAAACTAATTTGAATAAATAAATACTATAAAATATGGATATAATTTTTTTTATTATTCTATATTATTTGTATGGTAATATTTGCTCTAAAAATCCTTCATCATTTTGGTAATGAATATTTAAATATCCTATAATTTTTAGTGTTAGAACGTGAAATTTCTAAAAATAACAATTATTCTTTTAACTAAACGTGAAATTTCTAAAAATAACAATTATTCTTTTAACTACTGAAATAATTTGATTCGTATAAAATATGTACATAATTTAAATGTAACAAAATAATCTTAAAATCAATTTAAAAGAATCTTATAATTAGAGTACCTGATGTAGGAAATAGCTTACCGAAAAATGTTAAATAAAATATAAGCAAAAATGCATCAAAAGTCATTGTATTATTAAAAAATTAATGTCGATATTGAATTATTTTTTTAATATAATTCTCCAATTTAAAAAATAAATCTAATATAGTCATTTTACTAATATTTTTCGTCGTTAACCGTTACAGTACTAGCGTACCAATTTACGATGTTGGCGTGGAGTCTACGATGCTGATGTGACAGTTCATGGTGTTGACATAGTAATTCATCTGCCATGTTTGAATTACCGATTTAGTAAATTTGTCACGTCATCTGTCACGTTAATCGTCATCCTAGACTATCATGTCAACATCGTGGATTATCACATCAACATTGTGAACTATTACATTAGCATTATAACATTCAATAGGAATGGGCATGGCTAAATTATATAACTGACACCATTTTTTTTTAATTTTCCCTTTCTAACACCGTTTGACCAATATTTCCAGAAGTAGCACCATTTCTGCTGAGTTGGCAAAGGCGCGTCCCCGGGGACGCGCTTTACCCGTGTTTTCGTTGAGTTGGATGCCACGTGTGGAGGCGCGTCCCCGGGGACGCGCCTTTGCCATATCAGCAGACACGTGTGGAAAGCGCATCCCCGGGGACGCGCCTTCCATTAAATGTCATAAATGCCCCCATCCGTTTTCCTAACTACCCCTCCTCCTCCCCTATATAAACCCCCTCAACCCTCCCTCATTCTTCACCAAAATATATTCTCCTCTCTTATATAACTCAATTCTCCAACTATTTGAGTTTTAAATTTGTTATTAGTGGTAAGAAATTTATTTTTATGTTAGTATTTTTTTTAAATAGTTATTTATTTTTATATAATATTTTATGTAAATATTATTTTTTTTATTAAAATAATTTATATAATTATTATTTATTTAGAATTATTAATTTTTTTTTGCTAATTATATTATTTTGTCTACAGTTATAATGGAAAACGAAATGCTGTTGCGATTGGATATGATCATATCTCCAGACATTTTAGCGATGGTAATATTTTTATAATTAATGTTAACATACATTAACAAAATACATTTGATAATTCTTACATTAATCGAAATATTTTACATAATATATTATTATTTATAATATAATAAAATAAACTATTTATTATAAACAAAATACGTCTGCTGAGTTGGCAAAGCGCGTCCCCGGGACGCGCCTTCCACACGTGGCATCCAACTCAGCGAAACGCGGGTAAAGCGCGTCCCCGGGGACGCGCCTTTGCCAACTCAGCAGAAAGGGTGCTACTTCTGGAAATATTGGTCAAACGGTGTCAGAAAGGGAAAATTTAAAGCAAACGGTGTCAGTTATGTAATTTAGCCAATGGGCATAGGTCAGGTTTCGGCCAACCGACTAGACTCGAAAAATTTACATCCTTCATCCGACCCGACCTGACCCGATCCAAAAAATATATACTCTCCACCTAACCCGAGTCCGACCCGATTTTTTGATATAAAATTCGAACCTGGTCTGACCCAAAATAATAATAAAAATATTATTTTTATTCGATAAAAACAATGATTTAATTGAAAAAAATGAATTACCCGTCCAACTCAGTTGGTAGAGCGCAAGGCTCTTAACATTGTGGTCATACGATCGAGTCCCATGGTGGGCAATTCATAATTCTGATTGCCGGGGGTCTCTCACGGAAGTTGCTCTCAATATGACGTTAGAGGCAGCCTACCATCCTACCTCTCCTTTACCCCATTACATATAGTAATAGAGTCAACTAATTTTTTTATTTAATTGAAAAAAATAATATATAGAGAGTATTATTGTAATTATTTCTAAATATATAAGGTAAAATTATATTTTTCTCAGGTCGGGTATTTTTCACTCTAAATTCGAATCAGATCTAACCCGAACATCATCTTTAAAAAACTCGACTTGAACCCATTTTTTTAAAAAAAAACCCGATCCAATAAGATCAGATCAAATCAAAACTCATCAAATTCGAGTCTCATGACCATACCTAACAACCAATGATAAAAAATATTAATCAAAAAATTACATTGAATTTATTTTTTTGAGTTAAAGGTGACATAAAAAAAATATGACAATGATATTGATTTTTTTTTTCAAAAGTATCACTCGTAATTTTTGCCTTATTTTTCTTACATAACACGTAGTCTTTTCGTTTATCTCGGAATAGGGTAAGGGTATATTTCTGTCGAAAGCGCAGGGAAGCAAAGCAAAGTCAAAACTAGCAAAACAATGGGTGGTGATAAGATCATCCATCCTAGCTTCAGCTCTGGTATGTAAACAGTCTGTTTCTGCTTCGCTTCTGCTACGTGTTTCCTTTCTTTTTGATCTTTTAATATTAAACTTATTTTCATCTCTCTTTTTTCTTGCAAAATTTGAACATGTAGAGGAAGAGTCCTCAGTAGACCAAGATTTCCAATTTCCACCGTTGCCTTCCCACAAGCCCACTTTGATCAGGTATTTAAAAAACAAAACTTTTCCCCTGTTTTAATGAATGAAATGCTTTTAGCCTTTGTAATTGTCTTGGGGTCAATTTGTTTTGTTCTTTTTCTGTTGGTGAAGTATGATGAGTTTGGTTATTTGGTTTCAAATGAGTCAGGGATTATTCGAGAATGAAGATTGAAGATGGGGAAGCTGGTAGATCGTTTCTCGAAGATTTTGATAACATGGGTTCTCCATTTTCCTCTTCTCTGGGGTTTGAAATTTATAACAAGAGGAGACAGAAGGTTTACAATGAGGTTTTGCAGAGTTATGAACTTTCCCGGGTTCAAAGTATGAATCTAAACGAGGGAAAGGACAAAATTCTGAGGTATGCATGTTCTATTAGCACAAATTCATTTTCTTTCTGAAAAAAAGTTCTCAATTTAATGTATGCGTGTAATATGCTCAGATTATTTTATTGTAGCTGAAGTTCAGCATTTGTTGTTCAACGTGGATAGAGTTGGTATTACGTTAATTGACATGTGTAATTTCACATGAACAGTTATGTCCCTGGAGCATGGATTGAGAATGTCAGTGACATGAAACTGAGTGATTATGATGTTCCAGAAAGAACATCACTCCTGTTGATTGGTCCGAAAGGGTCAGGAAAAAGTAGCCTGGTCAATAGAATTTCAAGGGTGTTCGAGGATGGCGATTTTACACCAGAAAGAGCTCAAGTATCATGTAATGTTGTTTCATTAGTTTATTACAAATGCTGAACTCGTGAAGAAATGCTTTTAGGCTAGTAGATGTAATTGTTATAATATCCTCGACCCTAAATTAGTATTTCTCTCTAATGCAGATAATCCATCTGTTGGAGATGGTACCTACTATCTCCAAGAATACATGATCCCAAGAGGTTCAGCTTCGTTCTGTCTTTATGATACCCGGGGCTTGTCTAATGACACATCTGAAAACATTAATATGATTGAGTATTGGATGAATAAAGGAGTTCGCCACGGCGAACTTGTTTTCAGGTCTGTATTTTAACTTTAGGAAGTAGTTTATATCAGACATGTAATTCTTCCTATCTTCAGATTTGTTCATATGAGGGATTTGTTTATCAGGAAATCAGATGGTTCTAGTTTGAGGAGAATGATGTTTAAAATACGCAACCTAGGCCGGCAGTCTTGCAAGACCCGGACAGTTAATTTTGTCATTTTTGTTGTTGACGGGGTCTCAGTTTTGAAATCCATGGAGGGTGATGATGACACGGCCGAGGTACAGTACATGCAAATGATCACCAAGGTTTTCAAGTGTCCATGCTTGTCGTTTAAAGGTACACAGATTATTTCATGTAATGTGCGGAGTGATCAATAAGACAGCTTATTTATTCTGAATGGCTGGTAACTACCATGTATTTCTTTTACACAGTTTAATGTGACTTATTATCAGGCCACCAATTTGCTGAATGCTTCTTTTTTTAGATGATAAACCTGTTGTTGTTATCACACATGGAGATTTACTTTCAATTGTTGACCGTGTTCATGTCCGACTTCATTTGGGAGAGCTGCTGGGTATTCCACCTGCAAAACAAATTTTTGACATTCCAGGTGAGTTCTTCAGTTTATTTACATTTGTTATACTAATAACAGTTTTCCACCAAATGATTGCAATTGAATCTAAGCCTTTAAGTTTGCAGAAACCAACGATCCGGTAACAGAGTTGACAATTATTAATATGTTGTGCTACTCGCTCGAGCATGCAGATCGAAATCTTCCACACAAGAAACGGGTAATAGAAATATCCATCTTGCACCCATAATAAGGCTAAGATGTTCTCAGTGGCTGCATATTCTTTTTAATATGATTTGGAAAGCATGCTGATAACTTGTGAATGCCTGCATTTTTGGCTTCGTTCATGATGCTTACAAAGTTTCTTGGCAAGTGCTTTGCTCTAATCCAAAATAGTTGTTGGAATCATTTTCCTTTTTCAAGCAAGTCATTTAGGTTTTGTATCTAATTCACTGTTTACATGCAATATATGAGGCATTCTAGTTTTTTATGACGGTTGTTTATGTTCCCCCAGTGGCGATACGACGTCTTGCGTGTGCATATAACTTGTTTAATTATTTTGTGAAAGAGATCCAAGTGTAATGGCTATTATAATCACATGCAGGTCCGCAAAGTATGTATATCTGCATTCATATATCTGTTATCGATGCTGGGGATTGCCTTATCAGTGGCTTACGTTCGAAGTTGGAATACGAGACATGATCGGGAACCAGAACTGCGCATAAATTGGTATGCTATCCGGCACATATGGTAAAGGATTAATTACAGTCAACTTCCTTTGTCTGGTGTGAACAACATGAATACATTCGATCAAAATGCATATGTAAATGATTTGATGTTCTAGAATTTCAGTCTATTGGAATAAGGAGTTCTTAATAAGAAGTGCAACTCACCCCTGAAATTTTCTGAGAGGATTTATTTTGTAGAGAGTAAGAACAAGATAAGAAGATCTTGATATTGATCTTCTGAGAATAACAATCAACTGGAACATGCCCAGGCTGGCTAATTTTTAGCAATCCAGGAAGTAATTATACATTACAAATTAGACCACATTGGTGCACACTGGAAAAGCATGAACAATGAGGCAAGACTGAAATAGACTAGCTCCGGAAAAGAACTTAACGTTATAACTACAATATCCCGGATGCGGTACTGCTTGGAATCCTCTCCAGAAACATCGCCCTAGCAGCAGGGTCGGTTGAAAATCAACACAACACAGCAATAGTGGCCGCAGTGCGATCTTCTCGACCCCTCTAGAAATCATACAAGTGTGGTAAGCCTCCAAAACTACCATGATATCACCACCTGAGATCATGAAACCGCCTCTGCTATTTGCCTACTGAATCTTTCTTGCACTTGTAGCTTGAAACCATAAAAATGTACTATTGACTGCAAAAGGGATTTTTCAATGTGATTAAATCCTTCGGGACACAAGAATCCTATATGAACCACACCATGAAAAGAAAGCGGATGATGCTCACATTTAGACCAAAATGATAGGTTCAGCTCTGAATGCATCTGTTGATGTTTGTGGGAGCATTCTCCATTAGGTTTAACAACTTTTATGCCACAAGTGAAGCAATTCAACTTCATCTCCACCTGCCTTAAAAAAAATCATCTCCAATTCTGTGTTCTGAAAGTTCATCAACCACCGGACGAAATGGCTGGGAGTTTCTGTAAGCTCTTTCCTTGATGGATCTTAGCCCAAAGATTCGAGTGTTGAAGCTACTGCAGCAACCATTCCGGGTTTGGCCGCGACAATGTCGGAAGAACCATTAGCCATGGAGGAAGCATAGGAAGGGCAACAACTTTTACGCGTATGGCTCCTTGTTGGAATTTTCTCCATAGTTACACCTCTGAATTTGAAAAGACGCAGAAAGTCACCCCAAGCATCGAAGTTTTTGTTTCCAAAGAGAGCTGCACCTTTATCCATCGTTGATGATTTGAGTCATGGAAGGCCGGGAAATGAATGTGCAAGCACCGGAGGATCACAGCAGCACCTGCTGGATTGATTCCGATGTACAGAGCCAGGCATACTTCATCGGCTAGTCGTTGTGGGTCTTGCAGTTGTTTCGCGAATATATCAGCTACTCTAGTCTAGACAGTTTGCTCAATCCAACGACACGCTGACCCGATGGCACATAACCTACATGACACTTGACTTGAAAGTTGAAACGGGAGCAAGCATGACTCGCAATACGAGAAGAAATCAAGATCTCTAACAATTACAAGTCCACATGCGCCTCCGGCATGACCAACTCTTCATGCCAACCCACAACAGGTAATAAAGCTCCCTGAACAATATCCTTCACCGTTTGTTTGTAACCTGGAGAAATTAATGGAAAAGTCCTGATCAAAGACGAAATATTAGATTACAGGAAACATTTATAGATACGGGTGCATATGTGAGATGAAGGGGAAAATATGCACATTCTTATACAAATAAATGAGCTTCAAAAACTTCGTACAAACAAACAGACAGACAATCTCATGCACTAATAAGGGTTTAAATTATTCGAGTTTGAATGAACAATGTTATATTTGTATACATTTGTTTATTTTTTAAAATGTCCGATTTGTGCTCAACTCATATTTATTTATTTATTTTTAAGGGATTCATGTAACATTCATGAACATGTTCACGAACATGTTAATTTACCATTTGTAAACATACTCGTTTTGTTTTATATTAGCCCACCATCACTCTTTTCATCCTTTTAACTTCAAAGCCAAAGAAAAAAATGGTGAAATTATACCACCACTCCTTAATTTTTTAAGATTCACATTTTAAACTCCAAAATTTATCTTATGTTCAATTTAATCCCTAAGTAAACAAGTTTCTAAACGAGTTGATAAATGAGTTTATAGATGAGTTAATAAACAGACTTGTTCGTGAATATAAACGAACTGATTACACATCTATTTATATTCGTTCATTTATTAAATGAACATAAAAATATTTGTTCATACTCTTCTACTCAATAAACAAACGTAAATAAATATTATATACAAATAATTCATCGGAGACTATATCCATTTTCATTTACATTAGTAATGCTCTATTAGAGCCCGCAACTTGCAAGATGAGCAATTGAAAACCTCTCTACAAAATAATGGGCAGTTAGTTCAGTTATACTATAAAAACTAAAAGCGGGAAAAACAAATGCACATGAGACGCACCTCTTGTTCCTTCTCGAAGTGCTTGGCAACGCTAAGAGCCTAAGAGGAGTTTTCTTAATACCTTCTCGGTTGATATCTTCACCCAAACCCTGCAACAAAACTTTAACAGCATCCTCAATGGCTTTAGTTTTTTGCTCCTCCAAAACACACAGCCTCTTAATTTTTGATGTAGCTCCCCATTAATGGGTGGTGTGCAATGTTACAAGATCATGTTTGTTACAGCATTAGGTTGCATTTAGTATTTTTTTTGTTTGTGGTGGAAATATACATTTATATGTTTCTTAACAAGCTACTTTATGGTTGTTAGAGGAATTAGAAATGAGCTTCTACTTTGCTCATCTATGAATCTATGATTACGGGAACAATGGAAACAGCATCGAAACTGTGTTTCCATTTTTCAATAATCGACAGTTGTAATCTTTAGCTGTTGGCATGAAACTTATGTTTCCTTCTCTTGATTTGATGTGAATGGTCACTGAAGGAAAAACAAGTTTTGTGGTTAGTCTTAGGAGATTGGACAACAAACCTTGTGGAAATATATTTTGCATGTTTTAAGACTCTTCTTCATTTACAGGGAACAAAGGACGGTCTTCATCTGTTGGTGGGACTGGATACAGAAATGAAGGAGCAAGGGGGCGTCGAAACTATGGCGGCAGCGGCGGCAGGGGATATAGCCGGGGAGAGTTTGGCAACAGGAGCAGCAATGGAGGATATTCAAACCACCGTGGAGGTGATGGATATCAGAGGGGTGAGCACATGGGTGCTGGTGGTGGCCGTGTGAACCGCTCTGGTGAACGAACTTTCAATGCAGCCGCAGCCAAGAATGTGGCACCAAGGGTACTATCTGCCCCTGCTTGAAGAAATAGGTCGACCACTGATCAGAAGATAACATCCGGTTTTTAGTGTAGTGATTCATCAAATTGTTGCGTTTTAGAGAAAGCATCGAGACTTCATATTTTGATTTTTTGTTTCATTTTGGTAAAACGGTTGAAATTATGATATTTAACTACATATTTTAACAAAGCATTAAATATCTTAGTTTAGAGGAAAAATTTTAGTATTTGCATTAATATTGTGGTAAAATGTTAAAAATTTTGGTATTTAGTTATATATTTTGGTAAAACATAATATCTCACATGTCATCTTAAAAATTTTGAAACTTAATTAGGCTATTAATAGACTAATTCTCAACTTATTTTGATAAATTTTAAAAATAATCTAATTTTTCTAAATAGGTACGGAGATTGCATAAATCATAATGGGCATCATGTGAAATAATATCATATATATATTCAGGGAAATTAAAAGCAAAATATAAGGATGAATGATTAATGACAGTCTATCGAGTAAAAGTGTGAATAGTTGCACGAATCAACTTACATCAGTGGTTAAAGAAATTGTTATTGTTATTGTTACTAGAGGTCATGAGTTTGAGCACCAACAGTTGCAGCAAGGTGATTAAGCGTTCATTATCAAATGATTGAGAATATGTAGAACAAATGTTATTTTGTAATCACTTTAACTTAATAAAAAAGTGTGAATAGTTGAGGCATATGCTAAAATGGCAAAAATGCCCAAATAAAGCTACTGGGAATGTTTAATTCCCAGTTTAAGGATGTTAGTTCATTATTTCCCCAAATGGGGTGAATGTTACAGGGTTGGATGCATTGCTTTGGATCTATCGGCGTCTTCACATTCGTTCAAGGATCTCTCGGCGTCTTCAACATAAAATTTTCCTGCAGGTGGATCACTCGGCGTCTTCCATGCAGGGAATGTTGCAAGGCTTCCTCGTACGATAAAACTTCCGAAGTGAAGTCTCTTGACCCATTTTTGCAACGCCATCGAACCGTCGAGCTCACTCTCGGTTTTCTCTATAACAACCCGATCTATCTCTTCATCAGTATTGCTTTTAACTAATAGCTTGTTTGAATGATCAGATGATGATGACACACATCGTTTATTTACTGATTCGGATTGCAAAAACCTTCTGATTCTAGCAAAGAACTTAAGCTTTCTAGAAGTAACCAATAGAAGATGAAGAGGAAGACATGCTCTGAGTTTGAGAGGGAGACATGGTTGGAGAAGGGAATTCAAAGAAGTGGGTTCATTGTTTATATAAACTACTGCGAACAGAAACCAGACAACCACCATTGCTCTCATTGCTTCACCGTTCAAACCAGCTTTTATCAAGACCCAACCACCTAGAAGCTTGCATAGGGGTTTTCTGCTATTGTCATCGGTTCTCCCTACTGGTTTCGCTGAAGCTTTATCGTACGAGGAAGCCTTGCAGCATTCCCTGCATGGAAGACGTCGAGAGATTCACCTGCAGGAAAATTTTGTGTTAAAGACGCCGAGAGATCCTTGAACGAATGTGAAGACGCCGAGAGATCCAAAGCAATGCATCCAACCCTGTAACATTCACCCCATTTGGGGAAATAATGGACTAACATCCTTAAACTGGGAATTAAACATTCCCAGTAGCTTTATTTGGGCATTTTTGCCATGGTAAAATACAACTAAAAACTAATACAATCGAACAATTATCTATTAAAAAAAAGATAGAAATGGCTGGGGAGTGGCCAGGCAAAGCCACCATGCTGCCCTTGACGTAAAAGAAATGTGGTAAAGTGGTAACTGCTTCCAACTACAACCGAGAAAGAAAACACATGTAGTACTAATTTTCGAATTGATAGATTTTAGAAGAAGAAAAATACAAATTTTAATAAAATATTAAAAATTATTTTAATATATTAAATATTTTAGTACATTGTTCGAAATTTTGATAATAACGTCATAAATATTTTAGTATTGTTTTATAAAAAAACAATTTACCAGATAAACACGTTACACGTTTTATTTTTATGGGTAAATTATAAATTCTTCTAATGAACTTTTAATCTCTAATCTATTTCATTTATTATACTTTAAAATTTTTCACTCAATTTTTTGTGAAATTTATTCACTCAACTTTATTCTTTGAATTTTTGTCACTTTTTATTATTTATTATTATTACTATATGAAATGAATAATTTAAATATAAAAATAATTTAAAATAAATAATAAAATAATATTTATTATTCTTAAATTTTAAAATATTTAAAATAATCACCGTTACTTCTCGTCATTATCGGTCTTCGGAACTAGTAGCCATTTGATACGTTGAGTTCGAATCTAGTTGTCGTTTCACATAAAATATCCCAAAACTCGCGAATATTGACCAAAATGTTTCAGTTTCCTAAATTTTGATCTCCTATTAGTGGACTTCGAAGCATGTTCTGCTAAAATGGAGCTTGAATTTATACTCATGGGATCGAGACGAAGGGACAAATGAAATTTAGGATCGAACGACCAGTATCCATGGTTGTCGATGTTTCAATTTCCTCACTTTTGGTCACCTATTCGTGGACTTCGAAGCATATTCCGACAAAATGGAGGTTGGATACAGATTCAAGAGGTCGAGACGAAGCGACCAATGAAATCAAGAACCAAACAATAACGATCTACGATTATCAACGGTGACATCCAACAATGACGAACAATGGATGGGTACCATCTAGGTTTAATTTTATACTTTTAATTATTTCTATAGTAAATAATAATATTAAATGTCATGCCATTAAAATAATAAAATAGTGAGTGAAATAGGAGAAAGAGTAATATTCAATTACTAAATTTGTAGTTGACCCTTATTTTATATATATATTGGTAAATATAGGACGAATACAAGATAATATATGTTCAAATACTCTCAATCATATGACAATGAATGTTCATATCCTATACATACACGATGTTTGAACTTAAAACTTTAAGAGAAAATAATAAATTTTATATTATATTTTAAGGAGAAAAAAAAGGCATTCTAGAATATTCCTGAATGAAAGAAAAATTGTACTGGTCTACTCATTAGATTGTTGTTTAATTGTAAAAATAGAACATATTTGATAATATTGTTGTTTACTCCATTGGTTTTGTAATAGTTCCAAGTTCCAACGCTTAATGAAGAAAAGAAACAGGCGAAGCCTGTACGGTGAGACAGGAAGGGAAAACACCAAACAAAGATGATGGCAGACCATGTTCACAAAATCATAACATGAGTTGAGAATTTGGGCATATTTCCAATTCGCTTGCTTTGTAAACAAACCCTGCGGCCCACTTGTGGCCAGGAGGGCACAAAAGTAGGTAGTTGGTTCAACTATTCTAGAGGATAATATGACCTTGCATTATTGAATTTTACCCTTCTTAAATTACTATAGCCTAAAAATACAAGAGTGCACATAGAAATCGAGTTTAATATGCAACTGCAAGTTACATTTAGATGCAAATCTGGAAGTCCTGCCACAAATGTTAAAGATCATTAGGTGAAACTTCCTTTGCATGTATCAAACTTAAGGGCCCTTTAACCGTTCTTTAGACACAAAAAAAAGAAAGAAAAAGAAAAAGGTTTGCCTCGGTTTATATGGACAATGATAAAGCACCTCTCTCTAGGCCTGCCTAACCTAAACTAACCTATTGTACCACACCATGCAGATAAGAAGCACAACAAGGAAGGAAAAATGGAAAAACTTTTCTTCGCCATTAACAGTAGGAAAATGATCAAATGCTCAAAGTTGGATTCCTGCATATTCATCGTTTGATGTTCTACTCATTCAAATGGGGGGAACAAGAAAAAGGGGTTACATTCCATGTGAAATCAAATAACATATTTACTTTGTCAGTCATCAGGGTGAAGTGAAATCCAGGTTCAATGGTACCCTTTCTTCTTGCCATGCCTGCTGCCGACATGGTGCAACCATCCAATCCCTTTGAGTGCCTTTGAGATCTTAACAAGGTTAGGCCTCCCCATTCCCAAATTCATCTTCCCAGCCGACAACTTCAAAGCCTGTAAGCAACACAATTGCCCATTCGACTCTTCCTCCTCATAATCATCATTATCGTAGTAACAGCCGCCATTGTTGTTACCACCACCACCACCTTTCTTTCCTTTTGTTTCTACTTTAGAGTCGGTTTCATAAGTCTCCCAAAGCAAATCCATCCCTTCACCACTACCATCCACATTATGTGAATGTCTCTCCTCGAAAAGCTTGCATGCCAATGTCCTCTTCCACTCCTTTTGCTTCCTCATCGACCCCATTGTTTGGCAATTCACCATTGCTTTGGCAGCGTGCTCGTACCCATTTTCAGCACCCATCACTTTAACATCACTTATTTTGTTGTTCCCCGCAGCCTTGGATCCCCCTGTCATGATTTCATCAACTTTATTGAACTCCACGCCAAGTGACTTGGCTTCTTTGCCTCTCTTTTTCGACGACAAATTTTCTCCCCCATCCTTTTTGACGACAAAGTCTTCAAAGATCTTCACCAGCGCCTTTACCTGATTCGTTTCCGTACTCTCCGGTGGTTTTTCATTCTCAGGCACACCTAAAGGACTCTTGTTTTCAGTGGGAGCTTCTTCAAAAGCTTGAAAGCAATCTCCTTTGAACTCCATCTCCCTAAACACGATCCTAAATGCTTCAAGCTCTTCAAAGCTTCCAAACCCATCACTTTGATCATCATCATAATCGTCAACTTTAGACCTCAGCGTTTCAACAAGCGTTTGGTAGGCAGTAAGTAGGAAACTTACATTGGATTCATGGTTGACAAAAGTGGGAGTGAAAGTGAGACACGAAAGAAGCAAAAGGGCAGTGGTGATAAAGAGAGGGGAAAGAAAAGAGAAAATCTTGAAGAAATAAGGGGAGAAGAAGATGAAGTAGGAGAAGTAGAGAGGGTGAGAGAGAATGAAGGAACAAAAGAGTATAAAGTCGGAGAGCAAAAGACTTGACAGGTCGTGAGTTTTCCTCTTGGCGGTCGTCAAAGAAAACTCAGACATTTTCGGTGAAGAAAGTGAGAAATTGAAGAAGATGGTGATGGATGGGAACAAGGGAAGACGAAACAGAGTTGAGAGAGAGCGGCGTGAATAAAGGGCAGAGATTGAGAGAGGGAGAATAAAAACTTTACCTGTCTTTGTCCCCCCTCAATCATCTTCATTTCGGACCACTCATTGATATAAAAATATTTTTTCCGTAGATTATATTTTTTATATTAATATGGACCAAATGTACTCCCTTTTTGTTACTCCTTTATTTTTTTCCTTGAATTAGTATGAACTTCTGAAAATGAAATTTAATAGCACATGCGATAGCTACTCCAGTGACTTATGAAATGTAAAGCTTAGGCTTGTGTGTACTATAATGAGGTAATAACAATCCTTCGAAGTGATTTCGTCCACCTATTATCATTTATAAGAGGGCTAGTTAAGTTATAGGGTGGGATACTGGGACTGGCGTGCACAGGGGAAGGTACCAGCACTCATGGGCATGCCCTGGGATAGATCTTAAGTTTCGTTTCATAGACTTATTAATTAATTGATTGATCAAAGATGATTATTGTTTTTATTTTATGTGATTCAAATTCAGATATTTACTTTAATATCTTTACTTAATGAAAAAAGTATTTTTTAAATTTTTATATAATTTAGTTATTTTAATATTTTATATTAATAACCTAATTCCATTCTAAAATCTTTCTTATTATACGTTTTTCGAACATATGATTCGATTTCCATCCTCACAGCATGCTACTACCCTTTGCAGTATAATAATCTAATTCATTCTTCATCATAGAACCTTAGGGAAAAAAAGATAGTTTAGCCAAAAAAAAAATTCCATTCATTTTGTCGGAGGCTGATAGGTGAGGGCCTTTTCCGCAAACATGGTGGCTCATTGGTACGGTCTTAATCCGTATAGTTCACTTCAAGCATCAACATTATTCACTTTACCATACATATCGACAGGGATGGACGGAGTAACGGTGTGGAAAATCACCTCTATGAAAATGTCAAATTCTCATATGATTTAAACATGTTCTTTGCATTTATTATCAATAATATATTTCCACCCCTAAAATTTTTGTAAACTCACCCCTCCTAAGATAAAGTCTTGCATCCCCGCAAGCTTGCTGATTCTAAATCGAATGGCATAACCAGAAATCATTGTGACACTGACTGAATCGATTAAAACCCTAGTGGCAGAAATATGAACAATGATTTGGCTCTGCACTAGCAATACTTCCATAAAAGAAATCCAACTTGGTCATATAACTCATAATGGCTCGATATCGGAACAGAATGCCAGATAAGAACATGTTCATTCCAACTCAAACAAGAAAAAGTAGTGGTATTTAGAAACACACACAAGCATTTCCATACTAAAACATCCACCAACCCATTACATTTTAAAAGCACACTAATTAAGCAAAAGCATTTGTTTACTCTGTCATAACCGGTTTGTTCTCATTCGCTTTGGGTCTTTGTTCCTTAGGCTTATGCTCCTCCATTTTCCTGAAAAGTAGACCAAACGTTTTACCAACATATTAGAAGCAAGTCATTTGAAACAAAGCATGGGAGAAGAAATAAGAACTTTAAACAGCAAAACAAGCTACGCTTGGAAAGACAGAAACAGATATTTTCAAGACAGAATCCGTTCACACTGCTCAACAAGAAATGAGAAGATATTCACAGAAAACAAAATAAAGAGATAATATCAACCCATACATCTCCAATAATCCAAACAATACTAAATATGTGTGAAATTAAAAGTTATACACTAAGTGTAAGTGGATCCTAACTATTTCCCTCTAATTTGGAAATATAATCCATAAAAAAATCAACTGTTGAACAAGAAAAAAAAATATTATTCTAAACATCATATTCATATTGTTCGATCTCACAATATTCCGGAAGAACTCTAATCTTTCGCCAGATAGTCGCAAAACATATGTTAAATAATTGAAATAAACATTTCAGTGCATACTATCCGGTCAAGTTTCAGCTCGAGTTGAAACGAAAGCACTTAATAAAAATTTCCCCTTTGACCAACGCCGTAATTAAAACAGGCGACGGAGCTTTAATCCGTATACAAAAATCTTCAGAAAAGAAACCCGTCACGATCTCATCAACTCCCGATGGCTATAGTCATTTACGTTAATAACATTTAAATGAAACAAAAAAGGAAGCAAAGTTGCTTATAAAATCAGGCTAAAAAAATGGAGAGAGAGAGAGAGAACCTATTGTCGGAGGAACCGCCTTTCTGGCTGAGGAATGAGCGGAAGAGGGGAGAATTGACGTCGTAAATCATTGTGGAAATAAACCCTAGGCTAACTTCCTCTGTTCACGCTCGAGCTGCTTATATAATAATCTAGCATTGGTGGTTATATAGTCAAAGTGTTGGGCCATTGCAATCGCCAATAAATCTGTTGAGACTTGGCCTTTTTGGGCTTACCCAGGGGAAGCCATCGTTAGTTTTTAGTTTTATCATATATAATGTTTTTTTTTCATAATATTTTCAGTCTCATTCATACCAACCGATTGATACCATTTATTTACCACGTACGAGAAGACGTTCTGTGTTAGAAGCATTTTTGTAAGACATTTTTATCTAAATTACATAATTATTCTATTACATCCTAATTACGTTTTCAATTATATTTGAAATAATTAATTGTGCAACTTTTGTAACTTTCAGATTAAAAATATAACATTTTTAGTTAAAACTCACCGTCATATAACATTATTGATTGTAAAGGAATCTATTATTAAATTATATAGCAAATTAACCAAGTTTGCCCCCCGAAAACTACCCAATTGTATATAAAATTGTAATAACAAGTCTTGATGACAATGAAGCTGAGCTGCTGATGAATTGAATGAAAAGCATTGTCCACTAAAGCATAGTCTTAAAACAGCACACGTCATATATTCCAAAATTAGCACAACCACCTGAATGCACTCCCTAGGACAGTTTCTATTGTCCCTGAAACAAAATACTATAATCATCACATCAACATACTCTCTTATACACTCTATAATACTATCAACAAAATCCAAAAACTATCAGACATTGATTTCAATGAGTAATAGAATAGTACACTTACGTTACTAGTTAGGCTTGAACTTCATTATTCAAGAGGCCGATGGAAGGAAGACCCTAATTAGTTCTCTCACAGCGACTTTTTTCCTGCAAGTTGGGCATCTTGGCTGAAAAGCTATTGCAGCTTTAATGCATCTCTTGCAGAATATATGCCCACATCTCGTCGACATCTCCTCTGTTAACGGCCCCATACAAATTGGACAATTGAAGGTTGGTTCCTTTCGAGGCGACTGTGGTGTTATGATTTCCTCAACCTGCCAGCCAGCAAAGTCCAAAGCATTCATCATAAATTTAATAAAAACCAGAAATGAACCCATATGAACACAAGTGCAGTGACAAAAGTAGGGAAATATGTGCATTTTTCCTTGAAAATGTTCTTACCACCGACTGTGTTGAACATTCCAAGTTCATAACGCTTGGGCTCGGAGAAAGTCTTCGGGCCCTATTCTGATTATTATCAGTTGACCTCCAGCCTAGAAGGGGAGGGATGTGAGCTACACCAACTAGAAACACAGTAATATTAGGGTAATAACTACAAAGAATGAATTAAGAAAATAAAGAACCTAGGCAATCACACCAGTAAAACATAAGCAACAAAGTTGAAAAGCAATACCATCAACCTTAGTAAATCCTACTCACACACCACAAACCCATAATAAGGGTAAACAACTATGTTAGAAACCAAAGAACTGCATTTTCATTAACAAATTCTCTTCTTGTAAGTAAGCACAAACCCTATAGGAGTATGGTTGGCAAGTTGCCAATGCTCAGCATACAGCAAAAGGAGTGACTACATCTTCTAAGAAAATATAGGCATAAAAAAGAAAAAGTAAAATTACTAATAGTACTTCCTGTTTTATTTCCATTTTATTGCAATTCTCTTGAGTAACATAAAGAAGCATTTGATCCATCAGCATCTTCTAATCAATTGCAAGGTACATAATATAACCTAGATTTCACTTGGATTGCATTGTGTTTGGTTAAGTGGAATGAGATTGATGTGCTCCTAATTAGTCTGACTTCAAATATGAAAAGATGAACTGCAATTCCTTATATTCAACAATTTATAGGGCAGAACAATTTGTCCCAAGGACCCTGAATCTCACAAAAACTAACAATGCACCTAAGTCAATACAGGGATTGAAACCCACAGGACATCTACCTTAAAATTCAGTCGTTAATGGGGCTTCAACAATGTTACTAACAAGGAATCTTTTGACTCGAGAAGATAAATAGAATTAGTTTACAAGGTAGATCATCAAAAAAACTTCTGCTATGCAATGTGCGTATGACAATGCAGGTAGCACATGAGGTCAAACAAAATACTAAAAACAGCATTCCACGTAAATTTAACTACCTGAATCTACATCAACAACAGTCCTTCCACGGTTCCTCCTTGAATTGTTCTGAGCCTGATAAAATCCCGATAAGTTAATAACAATCAGCATGATGCAAATGATCCATAAAGATAGATTTCATGTAAACCTTAAGTGAAATCGAAGCATACCTCTGCAAAAGCTCTAGCAGAAGATTCAATTACATCATCATCAATAGCCTCAACATCAATAGTTGCAGGTGGTCCAAGCTGTACGGATTGGCTAGTTTGTTCCCCATACCCAGCCTGTTGGGAAGTACCCTCCAGTTCTCGGATTTCACTGGGTGGAACATTCAGATCGAGCATTGCCTTTCTCCGTCGATACCCTCTAAGAGAAGGCCCCCTCACTTCAAGAGTGTTCATCTTCAACTTATGATTTTTCAAAGTACTACCCAAAGATTGCAGCCTCAATAAAACCTAAAAATGATAAAATACAACTCCCTCGGGTACATTCACAATAGATACGGTATCATATTTTCACTAAAAGCAAACAATTCCTTTACTTGATTGAAGTTCTTAAAAACCATTAGTTTCATTAGGAAAATGAAATGAAAACTCTAAGATACTCGTTAATTACAGTTACTAAAAAATTCAATCTTGAAATGAAACACAGCTCGTGATTTAGAGCTTAAAAACAGAATCCAGAGACAGACGCTTTATTGTTTCAATTTTTAAATAAAAGAAATGAAACAGGGACATGGGTAAAGTGATCAGAATACCATCTTAGCATAAAAATAAGATCTTTTTCACAAACTTTGCTTCCTAGAAAGTACAAACAGCAACAAAGGTGTTATCACCGTATTCCAGCTGGATTCAGTATATCAAGAAAACAAATGGCAAAATTTTAATCAAAATTAAAACTTTAACCACTAGAAATATCTAAAAAAGAAGAAAAGAATCGACAAGCAAAAGAAACCCAAATCCTAACAAAGGAAGATCAATTAGATTCCAACACATCAAATAAAAAAAAAGATTGGTAAGTCAAAAGAGAATGGAGGGTCAAATATGATACCTGAACCGGGAATCAAGTAAGTTAGACGAACAAAAATGGGGAATTCATGTGGACGAAGCGAAGAATCCTGGTGAAATTATGGCGTCTAGGGTTTTGAAACCAGGGACGAGACTATCAACAGTTTTATGAAGGTTGCGCGGTCGGTGTGAGCATGAAAAGTGTCCGCGTGGCGCGATTCCATCTATTCTGGTTACGTCTTCGCTTACATATGCAAGATCATTTTGGTCAATCACTCTACTTCCTCTCTCTTTTGTATTAATAGTGAGATTACAAATTTACAGTGGTGAGATTAATCACCATAATAGGTAGATTGATTACTATAATAAATAGATTAATCAAATAATACAAATATTTAATTATTCTATTTAATATTAAGAACTTAGTTGAATTTATAAATTATGGTAAGACGACTCTCTTCAAGTACTATTTAAAAATAAGAGAAACTAATATACATCCTATAGCATTAGAAGAGATGCGATTCAAATTTAGTAAATAAAATAATTTAAATGACAAAAAAAAATACTGAAGTAGGGTACGAGGAATAAGAGATGAATATTCAAACTAGACAATTTGATAAATTTCAAAAAATGGGTTAATTAAGTTGATTAATCATATTTTATTATTTAAATTTTATTCGATATTTTCTGAAATCGAATTAATTTAAATTTTTAAATCGAATCATCCTTAATCATCGGGTTGAGTTCCAAAACCAGAAGTAATATATATGTACTATGATTTCTGAGCAGAAAACCAAAATTAAATTCCATGTTAATAGAGTTGTGGTACATAGCTAGACATGCATTCCTTGAAAAGTCTGAAAGCTCAATAACCGGAGACGAAATAATTAGGTGGTATTTGGTTAGATGGAATCACTTGAAATTAGGGGAATTGGAATCCAATTCGACCACTTTTTCATGTTTGATTCAAGTTTTCCAAGGGAATTGGAATCCTTCATGGCTTCAACTTTTCATCAAATGAGGGAAAGTGAATTTCATCCAAGTATGGATAAAATTCAATTTCCTTGTCAGAGGGAATTGAAATTTGACCATACTACCCTCGTCATTCTTTTGGTAACTTATTTATATATTTGAATAAAAATATTTTTTTATTATTTCGGGTCGGGTGAAACTTTATTTTAGTCGGGTCGGGTCGGTTTTTTTAAGTGTGATATTCGGGTCGGGTCGAGTTCTGGTTTAGGGTGAAAAATACCCGACCCGAAAATATATATAATTTTACCTTATATATTTAGGAATAATTACAATAATACTCCTCTATATATATTTTTTAATTAAGTCATTGTTTTTTAAATAAAATTATTTTTTTATTATTTCAGGTCGGATCAGATCGGATTTCTAATTAATATATTCGGGTCAATTTGGGTGAAACTTTATTTTGTTCGGGTCGGGTCGGGTTTTTTAAGCGTGATATTCGGGTCGAGTCGGTCGGGTTTTTTTAAGTGTGATATTCGGGTCGAGTTCGGGTTTAGGGTGAAAAAAACTGGACCGACCCGAAAAAAATATATAATTTTACTTTATATATTTAGGAATAATTACAATAATACCCCTCTATATATAATTTTACCTTATATATTTAGGAATAATTACAATAATACCCTTCTATATATAATTTTTTCAATTAAGTCAACGTTTTTAGTGAATAAAAATACTTTTTTATTATTTTGTATCGTGTAGGTTCAGGTTTCTAATTCATATATTGAATAAAAATAATTTTTGGTATATTTTTTAGTAACTAATTAACATAGTCCGATTAGAATGTATCGAAATATTGTTCTTCTTTTGGTAACTTATTAACATATTTGATTGCGATGATTTTAACTTATGATGTTTATTAGCATGATTTTTATAATTTATTGAAATAAATAATCAATCAATAAAATGAAAATTTAATATTTTTAAATTTTTTATAATATATACTACATGTAAGCTGTAAACAAACTAAAATAAAGCAAAAAAATAAGAAAGATAATTCTGTCATTTTACATTACTGAAATCAAATTCATCTGACATGTCTGCGAACTAAACAGAATATGGAATTGAATCTCAATTCCATTTCCTGCCAACCAAACAGAATATAAAATTGATTCAAATTCCTGACAGATTCTAATTCCTTCACAGATTCCAATTCCCTCCTAAACATTCCAACGAACCAAACGCTACCTTAAAATACAATATAAGAATGTGTATCAAACATAATGTAATGTGGTATAGCAAAAGACACGAAGCAAAGTGTGGAAAATACAAGATAACAGAGAAAACAAAAGAGACGAACGTGTTTATCATCATCACACATAAGGGATAATAGCCGCAATTCAGTTGAATTACTCTGCTCGGAAGGAGACTTCGATGTATTTACAGTATCCATCCCACACAACTCACAACAAATCCACAACTTTTTCCCATCCCTCATTTCCTGCACCATGGAAGGCAGCAACTCTGAAGGAATCAACGAAATACGGGTTAGGAATTATGTGTATGTATGTAAACCGTAGGCGTAGAAAAGTAACTGAGGCTCCCAAACAACATACCTTAACGGCATTGCTGTTAGTTGTCTTCCGATTCCGAGCATTGTTGTACGGGGATTGATCACCCGGCATGCCTGGTACCCTACCCCCATTGTTCCTTTCTTCTCGCACCTTGTTAAAAATGTGAGTATAGCCATCAGCTGATGCCGGATTACTCTCATCCCAGTCACCAAACTTCGGAACAGCTGCACTTTTATCGGGCTGTAACACCAGAAACCAGAAAATTAGCACCAAGCTTGACTAAAGTGACAAGTTTTTAATTCGGGATAAGTTTGTCTCAAGAAGAGAGTCATTCCCAAGCCAAGCAAGACAGGCATAGTGCATTATCATTATCAAGTGTTGCAGACAAATTCATTTATTTTCATGTAATGTGTAATGATAAAATGAAAGGACAAAGAAAAATAGCTTACACTTTCATCGTCTCTAGCACTTGGCCTGAGTCTGGATCTCCCGGGAGTACCGTGGCTACTATCGTACAAAATTTTTCCTTCCCATGCAGGCGATGCCATGCTACCTCTCCCCGTTCCTCGTGCCTGGTGATGAAGAGGTGATTTCTCTAGGCTGTTTTCAGATCCAATACTTGATCTTGTAGGGCGTTTTGGTGCTTCGCCGGAGCTTACTCCATGACCATAGCGTGAAGGAGTACTGTCCCCAGAGGGTCTGCGGTTGACATTGTCATGTCGTGTCGGGGAATCAGCATATTGCTTGAGGTAACCTTCTTCCCTGCTCCTTCGGCGTTCATGTACCCTTCTAGCAGGTCCTTGACCTACCGGCTCATCCACTTCCGGTTTTGCTCTCGAAACAGGATTAGCCGTAGTTGGAGCTACAAAATCTTGATGCAAGTCCGGGCTCTCTTGGGGATCATTTGGGTTTACAATCTTTGCTCCGGCACGACCCTGACGGGCCTTATCGAAATAAACTGTGTAGGGAACGTTCTCTTCACCCTCCCAATTGCCAAACTTGGGCACAGGGGTGCGCTGTTGCCGTTGCTGCAATGGCAACAAAAGCTTGTTATTTTGGATAATACACCTTAATGGAAACAAACAAGGATAGATCGAGGTGTGCTCGGGGTACGATCGCGCCCCTGGAAATTTACACAACGGATACACACGCAGTGAATTTGTGATGATGAACATATACAAGTTTTATCGAAATAAGAACAAACTAAAGACGAACACACAGATAAATCATTCTTCTTTATCCAATTTAATCGACATTGTTGGATGCTTCGATTTTCTATTATCAAAGATTACAAGGCAGTTAGGTCCTTATAAGCCCAGATCAGAAACAAACCCAAACATAAAACGCGTCATGTAAAAATCTCATCCATCCAAAGGCTCATTTCAGTAAATCAAATACCTAAACCAAAAAACAACAACAATAATATAAACAGTATTCAGAATACAAAACCTGAAACGCATCATATAAAATCAATTAAAGAACTAAAAGGAAGCACTCAATCATGCTTTGCTTACGTTTATCTCTCTCGTGTCCTAACACAAAAGCACAAAATCATATAATTCTCATAATTTAGAAACAGAAGAATAGTATAAACTACACCCAAAAAATCCTCAAAAAAAGAAAATACTAAAGCTAAAAAAAGGAAACTTACTGCCATTCCTTCCTTCAGAAAACCCCAAAAAGAGCAGATTTATTGTTATCAGGAAAAAAAAAGGTTCCAGCTTTTTGAAGAACCCTTCAACCGGGAATTCAAAGATGAAAAGAGAAAGAGAAATAAGAGAAATGAGAAGAGTTTTAGATAGAGAAAGGGAATTTAAAGAAGAAGACAAGAAAGGAGAGGGGTTTATCAAGACCGGCACCACCGGTAATGTTTGACCATTCTCAGCTGACCTCTTCTCTTTCTTCCTCTGTAAAACCTCTGTTTCTTCACCTCTCTCAAACCCCAAGCTTCGATTTTTATTTTTACTTCCACATCAATTTCGTTGCTGTTAAATTTCCACTCCGGTTACCATCGTTCCACACTCCTCCAACCATTGAATGCAATTGTTTTTGGTGACTGGAATGAATGAATTTGGCGCTGACGATAGCAGCCTTAAAGGGATGTACTGGCTAAACTGTTAAGAGTCATAAATTTAACGCCGTTACAGTCAATGGGGGCTGACTCTTCATCAAAGCTGAGACGTCTTTCTCCACGGTTAACATTTTTTAAATTAAGAATTTGTTTATGTTTTTTTATAATAAGAAGTGTTAATCAGTGTTAATGACAATGAAATATAATTAATTTTCATTAGCACCTTACACCTATACTTTTATAAATATATTATTTTATAAATATTAAAAGCAATATTATTAAAAATATAATCATAAATTGAAATATTATTCGATAAAACAGACAAATTATAAGAACGATTATAAAATCCACTAAAATGCCTACCGAGGACCGGAAAAAAGCCATACCCCATCACATGCGATTTTAATATTAGGCAATTAACATAGCTTGTATATGTAACTATATATCATTGTATTCGGTTAAACATATTAGAAATATCTATGGTAGAGCGCAAGGATTTTAATCTTGTGGTCGTGAGATCGAGTCTCACGGTGAACAATTTATAATTCTGACTGTCGAAGGTTTCCCACGGAAGCTGCTCTCAATTTAGCGTTAGAGGCAATCTGCTATCGTACATCTCCCTTACTCTATTACATATGAAAACAGGGTTAGCTAATTTTATATTAGAAATCTTTGTATTATATTTAAAAATTATTTTATTATAGAGTAAATTACTTTATTTTTTTTATTTTATTCATTATACTTTCAATTTTTCTTACTCATTAAAATTTTGAATTGAACATGTTTTGGTCACTTTAAATTATTTTATTATTATTTTGGTATGATATGATATTTTTATTATTATTTAATTTAAAAAAAATTAAAATAAATGATAAAATAAAAAAATATCATATTATACCAAAATAATAAATAAGGGTAAATTATAAAAATAGTCTCTAAACTTTTAGGGCACTTGCATTTTGGTCACTTAAATTTTGAAACTTGCGATATAATCATCGAACTTTTAGTTTGTTTTTAATAAGATCTCTGCCGTTAGTTTTTGCTGACGTGACACTTAACTGCCGTTAAGCCCACATCTTTCTTCTTCTTCTTTCTTTTTCTCCTTCTTTCTTCTTGATTATGTTATATATTTTCACTGAACTGGAAAATTATGCGTTTACTCCACGCCATCATCATCGACGACGACATCTTCAAATATTGTCCAAATTCATTTGACTGCAAGGAACAACTGCAACCCTTCATCTCCCAACGATAAGGAACAAACATGTTAGTTCACTCCAACCTTCAATATGTAAAACTATGAATTTTTTTTTGGATTAAGTAAAATTTTCATTCAATATCCAAAAGATACAACATCAAACTACAACAATACAACGAATCAAGAAACACAACCTCCCCAACAATACATCAAACCCAACCAATGAATAAAACTAGTCCAGAAAAACAGAACAGCAATACCCAACCCTCAAACAAACAGTTCGCAACCAATTCCCCAAGCATTGCAAACCGTTGGTAAAACTATGCATTTACTTCCGACAATTTAGAGTCAAAATACAAAAGATGTTTAAAAATAATGGGAAAATTGGCTTGGGACTTGTTTTATTTAATCACCTTTTGTCATAGTCATAGATATATGAAAGCAGCGCTTGTTCATCTTTAACTGAAATCGACTTATGGTATATATGATCTCATGATGAAAGGTGATCATCCAGTTTCTGAATATAATAATGGGGCTGGCTTCAAGAGAAGAGTTTCATAGAGAATATAAGCTTGCTTAAGAAATTAAAGATTGATTACACAAACTCAGGTTTGTTCTAACCATTTACCATTGAACAATCATCAGATGATTCATTTTTAAACTCATTGGTTCTATAATGCTCCAAAAATTTATTTAAGGATTAAATTGAAATGATTTATTAAATTAAATAATGAAAGACGAGAATGAATAGGATTCATAGCTTAGACTAAATTGTAAAAAAAGGATGATTAAAAGGATATTTTGGTCATTTGAATTAAATTGAATTTAATATTCAATTAGTGGGGAATTAAGATAAGAGATAAGATGAAGAGGGGAATAGGAAGTCAACCCTTTCATCTTCTTCTCTTCTTGCCGTGGGAAACTCTCCCCTTTAGCTAAAAGGTAAGTTTTCGATTTAATGGTTATTTCCTTCGATTTTTATGGGGACTGAAGCTTTGTATATTATGGAAGCTAAAGGAAGGTTTAAATGAGATTAAAACTAAGTTATTGATGAGATATTAGAGATTAAAGATAATAAGTTTTTGAGTGATATGATGAAATATGAAGGTTTATGGATGTTTTATTGTAGATTTGACTTGTCATCAACTTAATTAAGAGATATGAGGTGTTAGAACTGGATTTATAACATGTTAAAAATTGAGTATGATTCTTAAATCTCATGTAGAATATAGGATTTTGAGGTTAATGATGGGAAAAATGAGTATTAACGAGTTTAAGCATGTGTATGTGACTTAGGAACATGAAAGGAAAAGAAACATGGAATATTGAAGCTTAAAGGAGTGAAATTTCGTGCTTGAAATGAGATTTCTGGGTAAAGTGCATCGGTACACTAGAAGTATGTATCGATGCACTCCTAAATAAATAAACACCGAATGTAATTTGTGTACCGATGCATATGTAATGTATCAATGCACACGTTAAGGAATATACTGATGCACTGTGCAGTGTACCGATACATACCTTGTATAATAAATGAAAATAGCATTTCTTTTAGTTTAAGAAATGAAAGATTTCAATATACTAATAAGTGATATTGAATGTGTCTTTAATGAATGCTTGAGTAGATCAAAATCAAGCTTCCGAGTCTAGCAAAACGAAAGGCAAAGGTAAAGTAGCTGAGTAATCAGAATTGCGTATTGGAAATAATAGCAAGGCGAACCATGTGAGTGCATTTAATTATGTACGTTCATGTGGTAATAGTTAAAATAATATAATTTATTGATGTATGTATAGTGATTACCAAATGACACTTTGTGTGCTAAAATGATAAGGAAATCATATTGAGTGTATAGATTTCCATATGGAGCACTGAGTGTGCTAAATGATACGGAAATCATATTGAAAATATGGATTTTCAGATAGGGTATTTTATGTGCTAAAATGGTAAAAGAATCATATTGAGTGTATGGATTTCCAGATAAAGCACTAAGGGTGCTGCAAAGATAAGGAAATCATACTAATAGTATGGATTTTTAAATAGGGCACTTTGTGTGCTAAAATGAAAGGGTAAGCATACTAAGCGTATGATTTTCCAGATAGAACACTGAGAGTGCAAATATTAAAAGGAAATTACTTGAATTATATGAATTTCCTATGGAATGTATGTATTCCAATAATGATTGATAAATGAGGTTAATGGCATCAGTAATGCAGATTATAGTATATGCTTTGGAATTACAAATTCCTTGGAGATTATATATCGAAATATAACTTGTACGTAGAAATGTTATTTGTGATTAATTATGCCTCACTAAGTAATACTTAACGTGTGTTTATTTCACGCGTAGGTTGAATACAGCTTGTAAGGGGATATTGGGGCATTCAGTCAAGGTCGCCTCATCAGTAACCGTACGACATAATAGACTGTTTTAGTCATAGTTTAGTCGACATGTAATAGATTTTAATAATATAAAAATGTTTTAAATAAATTTAAACGTATATATTTAAATGGTAATTTTATATTGATGCAAGTTTAAGTTTTTATGAATTTATATAAGTTTTTATGAATTTATATGTGTTTTGCCGAAGTTACTGTAACAGTGCATCGATACACATTTTTTTTCGAAAATTTTGTGCATCGGTACACTGTTCACAGTACTGTTCCTCACTGTTCATAGTATTGTTTATCAATGTTCATGGTATTGTTCATATCGTATAGTACTGTTCATGAAAACATATTTTTTTCAAATTTGTTATGACGAACATAATTCAATAATATATGATCGTATTTTATTATGATAAATTCAAATGTGTTGTTATTTTGTAAGAACATCGTTTTAAAAAGTCAATGTGACACATCGGACTCGTATTCGAGTCGGGTATGGGATTGGGGTGTTACATGTTCATTTCCCATTTCAGTTGATGCATAAAAAACCATCAGGTTTGCTCTAACCATTTACCATTTGTAATGAAACCAACCCGCATAAGAACTGGGTTTTTGGATGCTGCTCGTGATCTCATTTTCATTACCTTTCGACCCAATTATGACATCATAATAATAGTCGATGATAAGTCAAATCTTTGATTAGCATCAAAGGGTATTCATAAATGCATAAAAAACACCCTATTCACACATATCAAAAGAGGATCAACTAATGAACAATACACCAAGAAGCATAAATCATTGTAAAGTTTGTCCCATCGAGAAAGAGCCTATATTGTTTCAGTTACTATTGATTTCATCAAAATAGATATCATTATCTAAAAGCAGAGGATGTCCTAGACGGAAAGCTGTATATTAGGAGTTACACAAGCAATTACTTTTCTATTTTCTGCTGCTGCAGATAATGCAATGACATGTTTTCTAACATTATAAAGTCTCGTACATAAATTTTATATGAATAAATTATACCGGTAATTATTTAACTAATGTCATATTTCATTTTAACCATCAATGTATTGATTTAATCAATCAGATCATTCAACTATTAAAATGTTTCAATTAAGCTACTTATCGTCAACATATGACGGAATAGGTTGTGTGGTAATTAAAACATTTTTGTATAATTACATAATTGATTTTTGTTACCTATATATTCTTTCAATTTGATATTAGTTTTAATAAATTAAAATAAATTTAATTCTCTAATCAGATGATGTCTTGTGTCATTTGTGATAGGTGCCATGACACATGTCATCATCCGATTAGAGAACTAAATTTATTTTAATTTATTTTTAATTAATTAAATTTATTTTCCTCCATTCCAAAGGTGCCTTCTACATCACCCAAGGGTCCTAAGTTTGATGGTCCTAAGTTGGATTCCCCTTGCCCCTCTTATACATTGGAGGGAAATATATATATTGAATTAAAAATAAATTTATTGGCTTAATAAACAATCGAAATATGCCAAAAGAGGGTAAATTGACCTTTTA